AATTTGTTCGTGGAAGTCCATGGGAAGGGTTGCATCGCTTGGCTCGATTCCATGGGCTGGTCCAGAGTGTGGACGGCGCACTGATTGCCTTCACCTTCCTGTCCGATCATGCAAGAGAAGGCCATGCCATCGACACCTCGACGTTTTAGCCGAGTGTTGCGGAACTGGTGCGGCCGTGTGAAAAAGGCATTGCATTTGCGTCGAGTCATATATACAAGAATCAAGGCACGAAAGGCACCAAGTCGATGGCAGATATCGAATGGCTGCAAATGTCAAGTCCCATGAGCCCGACATGACGGTGCTGCGACGCTCGTGCACGGTCGTCCTGCACCGCCGTCGTTCGGTACACGAGAACGAGAAAGACGCCTACGTCTAACATTCCGTCCATGCCATGGAGCATTTCGAGTAGCTCGAGCACCACGCGGCGCGGCGGACGGCGATGGACCGCGGCGACGATCCAGGCGACAAGGCGTTCCTTTACGGTCTGCACTTCCTCGTTGCGACGGACGACGAACTGAGTGCTGACCTCTCTGTCGTGTGCGACTTACTCAACGAATCCTCGTCGTCCGATGGGCCGTCGACTCTTGCCATCGCAGATTGTGTCGGCGGCGGTGCCTAATCGATAGAACCATTGAGCGCGGCGACGACACACACGCTTCCACGCGCTCGTGCGACAACGTCGTCGAAAACCAAGGGAACAATTACTGTTCAATACCCTGCAACCCTGGGCAGTTCTCTGGGACCCCCGTCGAGGGCGGTGATATCGAAGACGACATCATGCACGCATTCATGAGCAAAGGGAAGCGCCTCGAGCTCGCCTTGCGCGCGGCGGTGCAGAACGCAGGTTTCGTGGACACTCGAACCGAGCCACCATGCGGATGAATTTGAACCAATCAGACCTCGTCAATTTTTGCAAAATAACAAACCATTGGACAAAAATAAAATATATCGGCGAATCAAATACAATCATTCGACGAGATTTGCGTGGAACCCAAGGGGCACTCGACGGCGACGCTAGAGCCCGCTCGACGACATGGCGATGGATGGAAGCGATGAGGCGCTCTTGAGTGACTTGCACTTCCTCATTGCTACGGATGAACAAGTCCAGGACGACTTTTCATACCTGTGCGATTTGTTGGACGAGTCGATGAGCGACCCATTTGATGGCGGACCGGCCAATGTCGATGATACGTCGGAAAGCGGCGGTGGTTGCAACGCCGACTTGAACCTGCAGAAGATGATGCCACCACTTGTGACGGACGTGGCGGAAAAACCCGCGTCCACCAAGCGAAAAGCAGGGGTCAAGGACACATTTCCGGACACCGGAGCGCGAAACCGGTTCCAGTATCGCCAGCGACAAGAATTGAAGGCTCTCAAGATGCAAGTCGAGCAACTTCAAGCAAAACTAGCGGCAGAGACACTCAAGTCGTCCACGCGATTGATTCGAGCGGGAGACATCTCGCCGTGGGAACAAGCAGCGCGCAAAGAGCTTTTCGAGCGCAATCGGGCCCTGGCCGAGAACAAGCAGCTTAAGGAAGCGCTGGACGAACATTTGACGTTCGTTGACCACATGCAAAACCTTTTCAAGAAGAAACCGCGTCTGCTGGTTCGTCCCTTCCTTGTGATGGCTCTCATACTCTCTGTCGTGCCCAGGCCAAAAACCCATCGTCGGAAGAATGGCAGGCGTACAAGTTGGCCGCGCAGCACTCACTCCGCGTGGCAGCGATTCACGCCATCGCGGACCGACAGTTCCAGCGCATGCAGAGCGCTTTCATTCAAGCGGGGTTATTCAACACCACCAGCGACAAGCCTGTCGTGAGTGGAAGCCCGCGAGTCCTCCCAGACGGGCAGATCTTGATCGAGCTCAGGAGGCAGTTTACCTTGCCGGTGCCGTATTCTGTCGTTGGCACGGCGTGCTGGAACGTGATGAAGACAAGAATGGACGAATGTGGGCCGACAGAGGTATGCAGCTGCGAGACGCCGCCGTCTTGCCATGAATGTGCTAGACCATGGAAACGATCGATGCACACACGGTGTACCACAAGTCCGCACAGTGTGTGGCGGGAGTCATCGTACACTCCAACTCGATTCGGCGGTATTACGCCGGCACGAATCGCGACGTCGTAGTGTGGCGAACAGTACTCGAGGACGCCCTTGTGCCGCACATGTCCAGAGGATCCGTCAACAACGAGTGCGGATGGTAAGCTCAGCAATAGGAACGCCCGTCCGCGTGGTGTCGGTAAAGTCAACTTGCGCTTAGGATGGAAGTGGCACCGACGAGGGATGACAACCCCCATCCGTGCCGCATGACGTTCTTGATTCACATCGCCGTCAATTCAGTCGACCATGCGAAAGTTCATGGAGACGCGATGGATCAGTACAACGCTGGGATCGAAAGGTTTGGACTAAATGCCGGCGACTTTCGAGAAAACTACGACGTACCATTGCCAAACGAGATCATGGGCGCACACATGGCAAGAGGCAAGAGGTTCCAGGATGCGCTCCAAGCAGGTGTTGGGGCCGCAATAGCGCAGTACTACGAACAGCTCCATCGAGAGTCCCAAAGCCATTAACTTCCCCTGTTCTCCAAATCAACTCGAGAAACAACTTCAATACAACACTCTATCCTCCATAGCTTGACCGACCAAAGCTATCGTTCGATCCAAGGGAATATCGCCTCACAAATGTTGCACTGAAAGAAGTGAGAGTACGACTTCAATGAAAGCAGGCAAGGCATGTCGATGTAGCATCCAAATAAAGCCATCCGTCCACGGGCATGGAACGCACAAGCTTCTGTGAGGTGCCGCGTGCCATGGTCTCCACAACCGTGGATCGCTGATGTTCGTCCTCGTGGCCAATTTCGAATGTGAGGGGTTGAATGGATGAGAGCATATCCGGATAGTGTCTCCACAAGACCTGCGCGTATCCGGACTAAGCCTCCCGGTTTAAACCTACGGAATATTGCGTTTTACTATACAGGAGTACGTTCTGTTAGGAGTACTTCGATGTACTCGGAGTACATTGAGCCCAATGTACTACGAAGAAATATAACGGTTCAAGTTTAAAAAGCGAATCACCTCCCAGTGGTGTAGGTTTAATGTGAATTGATGCATCATTCAATTTTTTTGCAATTTGCGTTTTATTTTATTGCAAATGAATTGGTAATAGCCAGTGTATGACACGACAGTTTCAACGCGACGATTTCATCATGTCGAGCACCCGCAACATAAATTCTTGCTGTTGGCGATCGCGCTCTAGCTCCAGAGAGACGCGCCGCTCTTCAGCCGCCGCCCGTCGCTCTTCCATCTCTTTTTCATGAGCTCGTCGCTTCTCTTCGCGTTCGTCGTCCATGTCTATGCGTTTCTTCAAGTACTCGAAGAACGCTCGCAGATCTTCTGCGGGTGGCGTAGCTGTACGCGGTGCGGATTTTGATGGAGGTGACGACGACACTTGAGCATAGTCTGCTGCGGTTGGTGTTTCAACGAACTGCTCTCGCTTCGCCACTTTCAACAACTTGTTCGTCTTGCGCTTCTTCCTTCCATCCGACCCAGCGTTTTCGTGGGCGAAATTTGCACATGACTCCGCGCTCTCATCTTGTGCTTGATACACGTCGATTTGTTGACAGATGCTCCACACTAACCGCTCTCGCTCAGCGAACTCTTCATCGTTGCCCGACTTGCGCAGCACGTCGCTTTCGCCTCCAGTGATCATCTTGAGGATTTTCTCGAACCGAGTCTTGCATGCCGGCCCATCCTTGCGCAACGCGAACCCACGGGTGTGGAGGAGCTTCTCTGCAATATGAGCCCACGACATCATGATTTCTCCACTCGGTGCTTCCCACGGCTTGATCTCTTTCACGGCCAAGCACAAAAGGATGTCATCGCGTGCACAGAATGCTTTCCGGCACATCGCCGCGGCGTCGTGGTTCATCGTGGCCGCGCCATGTCCTGGTTGAACGTCCATTACCAACCGCAAACTCAATTGAGCAAATCCTCCCCTTGCAGTCTCAAAACTCAACCGTCGAATGCACTATCCGAATACTTTTGCGGACAATAGCACTACATTGCGTATTACTAGTACAGTGCTAGTACAGTATTCGGATGCCAACATCGAATGAACCTTGTAATTTAATTGTATACCCCCGTACTGATAGTATATAGAAATAGAATAAATAGGCTGGAGACATATCTGGGATTTATGGAGACTATCGATATCTGCAATACATAAAAGGAGACAAAAAGAAATTTATCCTCAGTTTAAAGAATCTGAGTGTAACCGCGGCGCCGAGTGAAGACTTGGTAGATGACAAACAGGACGAGAAACGTTGCGCATCCCACTCCAACGTAGAGCCAAGTGGAGACTTCGTCGCTTGGTGCGTCGGTGGCGTCGTTGGGGGAGCTGCTCGTGGTGGCCGTCGCCGCTGTGGTCGGCGCCAAGGTCACATGCTTGGCCAGCGGGTACACTTCCAGCGCAAATGTCATGCCGATATCAATGAGGAGGTCCGTGATCACGACCGTGTTGTTCGCAGCAAAGTACCGTCCAGTGGCCGTGCGCTTGTTGAGGACCTTGACGTATTCGACATGGACATCGCTGTCGGTGTCGTATCCGTGGACGCCGTACACCTACAATCGAATGTCAGGGCTCCTTCGAAAGCATGGAATCACAACGCACATGGATCGCATCGACAAAGACTTTCGTCTCCGGGCCCGTGTAGCCGTCAGCAACTGCTTCCGCCGCGATGCGAATGTAGCCATTGGCGGCATGGCTCGCCGTGTACTTGTGCAACGAATACACGTTGTTCTGCACGGGGTTGAGTGAATCCCCGCTGTCCATGTAGAGTTCTCCGTTGGCTTCTGCCTTCTTGTTCAGAGACGTGCCCCATGCAGGCAGCGCTACCACGAGACGAAATGGATTTTTTCTGCTTTCCCGGGTCGTTGTGTTGGGGTACTGCAATGCCACGATCGATCCTCCACGGATATGGATTGGCACCGTGTCGAGTGGAGCGGGGAGAGTAACAAAGCCATTGCTGGGGACTCGCACACCTGTCCACAGAACGTACCACGTCGCCAACGGGGGAAGGTACGCCGTGACCTCGCGCGCGTTCAGTTCCAACACGGGTGACACCAGCAGCGCCGACCCGAGCATGTACTGCGAATCAATCGCTAGAGTTTCTCTCGATGGAAACTCAAAGTACAGCGAGCGCACGACAGTCGTGCCATGGGCGTGTGCTTGGTACAGCAGCGTGTACAAGTACGGGAGGACGTGGTACCGTTCCAAGAGCGTCTTGCGGATAGCATCGAGAGCTTCCGCATCAAAGTCGACTGGGGCCTGGTCTTTTGGGGCCATGTTGTGGTTGCGCAAGAATGGGTACAACACCTAGAACCACGACGTCGGGTTAGAGTCATGAAGAGCATTCCACCGTCGATGCCGTACCGCCGCCTGGTGCCATCGAATGCACAGCTCCTTGGTCGTGTTCAAGCTAAACCCGCACACGTCTGGCCCGACCATGGGCATGCCAAAAACATTCATCGCGAGGACCCCGGCGATGCTCTGGCGCAGATCCTCCCACGTTGCCGCGTTGTCTCCAAGCCAATGGGCAGTGTACTGCCCGTCGCCGGCATACGTCGACCGAGACAAGAGGAACGTTCGCGTCGGTCGGATGGCGTCGACAGCAACGCGCGTTGCACGGATCTCCGAGTGGCCAAACAGGGAATGCACGTTGTAATGGAGCGAGTTGGCGTGATGCGCTGCCATGGACGCCGTCATGGCCGCCAAGTTTCCGTTCACGGCTTGGCCTGGAACAAACGGCTGGCGAAACGGGTCAAACGGGTACGCCGTGTCATTCGATCGCACGAATGTGTACGGCGCATACGTGTCGTGAAACGAGCACGACAAGCTTTCTCGGCCGCCCTCGATGCAAAAGCTGCTTGGTTCGTTCATGTCGAGCCAAATGCCGTCATACTTGGCCGTAGCGTAGTACCGCTGGAGCTGTTGCTTCCTACGGGCGAACATTGAGTGGGTTCACTCGAAGTGACATCGTATGGCAAAATACACTCACAAAACAACGTCAACGCCGTTGTCAACATGCATGTACATGCCACAACACATCGACAAGGCGGATATGGAAGAGAGACCCACCAGTACGACGTCGCGTTCGGGTGGAAAAAGTCGGGGTATGCCACCATGCCGGGCCACACGATGTTTTGCTCGATCGCTTCGTTCGATCCGTCCTTCATGAACACGTTTTGAGCTAGCCCATCGACGTATGCCGGGTACGACGGAAACGTGACCGAGATCCCAGCGTCCACAATCGGGACGTAGTGCTGGCTGTGCGCGTGCAAGTCGTCGATAAATGCCGACACGTTGGATGCAGGAAATGTCGCTGGGTCCCACGTAAAGTCCAAGTACTGATCCATCACGTCAATATCGGTCCACTGCCCGTCGTGCGGGACGCCCGCCGCGCGCATGCGCCCAACTACAGATGTGACGTCGCTCAGCGAATGGTAATGCCATCGGCACAGGTGGTATCCCAACGACCAGTACGGAGGAATCATCGGACGACCGATGAGACCGGTGTACTGGGACACAACGTCTGGGGCGGACGGTCCCAGGAACACAAACAGATCGATGATGCCGCCGACAGTGCGGAACGTGATGGCATGGGAGGTCGCGACCGCTTCGAGCGCATTGCTGTTGAGGAGAAACACGCCGTGGGACTGCCCCGAGTCTTCGACTCGGATGTAGAACGGATGGACGCCGTACACGTTGTCCCCGCCTTTCGACGTGTGTGCGTGGAACGTGTCGGCTGGCTGATCCCGTGCCCAAATTGTGTACCGGTCGCCGGTGGAGTTTCCAAGAAAGCGACCCACATGCTCACCAAGTCCGAAAAACGTCGGCGGCGATGTTGGCACCGACGTGGACAGCTCAAGAAACTGGTTGGCAAAAATCAAACCGCTGAAGTGCCCTGCTGGCGTTGAGTTGAAGAGCGTCTCGCCGGTCGACACTCGTGTGATGGCCAGTCCAAACGGAGACTCCGTCACACTCACAGAGTAAAGTTTCGTGGTTGAGTTGGAACTGAAGTTGCCCGCGACATGCAACGGCAACGGGACTTCATATCGGCGAAATGACGGGTCGTAGATACGCACGCGAACTCGGTCGTGTACGTCCGACGACACGTCCACAGTGAGTTCCTGAATGTCGTTGCCAAACGGCCCCCGAGATCGCAGTATGAGGGTTCCCGTGTATCCGTTCGACGTCTCAACCCACGAATTCAGATCGTACCCGAGGAAGGAGGGCTGGAAACACTCATTGCCGTCGAAGCAGCATCCGAGGGCAGCACACGTCGTTGCATCCGTTGGCGACAGAAAGTACCGCGGGTTGCGGCATGCGAGGCGCAAAGAGGGAGTCACAGCATCACAAGACGCTTTGGACGGTGCAGACGATGCGCCGAATGCACACGGAATCTCTTGTTTTGCGTCCCAGCAGCATCCCTGCGCAAGGCAGGTTTCTTGCGTTGCGTTGGGAAAGTTAGCTTGCTCAGGGTAGCAGTTCAGTCGAGGCGACGGTATTGGGACGGCACACTGATCGACTTGCGCCATCGAGATGGCAGACATCGTCAGCACCGAGGCCGCTTTCCACAGAGACATAGCAGGCTGGCGGCGCTTTTTCGTCGAGAATCCGAGACTGACGAGGAACCGATCTTGATGCTCCTCAAAAATTCTTGACGCGTGATTGGTTGATTTCAGGTGGACTTGTTTAAGTACGGTGAAGGACTTCAAGTTTCATTAAAGTGCGATTGTCGGATTCTCGACACAATCATGTTTGCCGCGCTGAAAGATGGCGCGCAGCAAGCATTTCGCGCAGCGATGTCCGAGATCCCTGGTCAAAAGGCGATGGTGGTAGATGGATCTTTGCAAGTGCTTCTTGAGGTTCTCTCCCGTGGGGGTGGCGGAAAAGGTTTCTTCGACGACCTTGGGATCGCGCAGATTGTCACGCTCGTACCACATCTCGACGTTGACAAGCTCGAATCATCGCAGATCGTGTTTCTTGTGCGCCCCCAGCCCGTCCATGTAAAAACCATGGCTGACGTTGTCTTGTCGGCACCACGCCGTCACACGTTTGCAGTCGTGTGGCTTCCGCAATGCATCGGGGTCTGCGAACTCGAGATGGAAAGACAGGGACTTGCCGGCATCGTGCGGGAAATCGACATCCCGCTCTTCTTGGTCCCATGCGATGAACTAGTATGGAGTTTATGTTGGTATGTGTGCATGAAGACCTTTTCGATTGACCGGCATCGTTCTTGCGCTTTAGGGAAGAAGCATTCATCGACTTGTTTATCCATCACGACACGAGTGTCGTATCCCATGTAGTTCGGAGCCTTCTTCATTTGGAACAATTTCACGGTGTGCACCTGCCCCACCGCGTCACTGCGCATGGACCTGCGGCGCAGCACGCAAAGAATCTCCTCGACAGTATCCATGGAGCGTCGCGATCGAAAACGCCCGCGACATTCCAGTTCGACCAGTGCATTTTGCTTGATCGCATGGAAGACCCGATCTCGTTGTTGGTGACGCCTTTGCATTATGAAGGTAACACCACTGCCTAAACGAGCCGTCGTTCCAAACCCGATGCACCTTGTTCATTCCTTTGACGATCATGCAGGATTGCTCGACTCTGTCATTGGTATCGACCATGGCACGATCCTCCATGGCATTCCCAAGAAGAAGCACGTCCTTGACGACGATCTCTTTGCGTCCATCCGGAACGTGGATTTTCAGCTCGTCACGTCGCTCTTGCACGATATGTCGACGTCACTGCAAGTCGACGAGGCTGCCACTCGGTCGACCACGTCCATCGACCAGCTCAGGATCCGAGCTGCCCTTGCTGCAGCCAAAACGAACCTTTCGCTGCATGTCGACCTGGCACACCGAGTATCGAATTGCTCAACTGATGTGAAGGACGTGGTCTCCGACGACGTCGACGGAGTTCAACGATGTGTGCATGCGGAGCAGATCATTCTGAGCAAGAAGCTGACCGCCACAACGCCCAGCAGCGCCGTATCGTCCATAACGGGTGGCGCGGACGCGGCCTTCGTTGGCACGGTGCTCGAGGAGGCACTCTTTCGTGATCCTCCGCTGGAGCTGACCAAGCTAATCAAATTGGTGTGCTTGCACTCGCTCGTCCACGGTGGATTCAAGCACGCAACGTTCGAGTGGCTGCAAACCCAGATTTGCCATACGTACGGCCATCGTGTCGCACTACCACTCGTCGCCAACCTCGTTGAGTTGAATTGGTTATTCCCATCGTCATCACGGCGCTCCAATCCGCCGTGGATGAAGCGGCTGCGACAGCATGACCCCCTCATCGGAACAAGTCGACCTCTGCCTACAACTCGAGACATATCGTTCATGTTCCCCACGACAGGATATGCCCCCATTAGCGTCCTCCAGGTCCAGGACACGGCCACAAGAAGCTCATCATCCACTCCATTGAGTGGGAGGACGAAGCAGCGTGTCTTGGTGTACTACATTGGCGGCGTCACCGTTGCCGAAATCGCCGCATATCGGTGGTTGAACCAAGGTCAAGACCAAATCCAGTACGTTGTCGCATGCACAGCGATATCCAACACGGCGCGACTGCTGCGGCAACTGGTTCGATCCCCTTAGCACGTGGGTGACCACCCCGTCGTTGAAGCCGCGATCGAATTGGATCGCGTTGAAAATGAATTTCGACATATTTTCCCGTTTTTACACGAAATATTATATTTCAAAGGTTTAGCCTCTGGACAATACCATGCCCAATGTGACGAACAAAGAACTAGTCAAACGAACGTGGCAGATTAGGGACCATCATAAGCGCATGGAATTGACAACGCCAACTGTTGGTTGAGGTCGTGGAGCGATGTTGGAGCTCGCCCGATTCGAGCTTGCGCATCAGATCTGGGAATGGTTTTCGACGATTCTACAGGGTTTTCATATCATTTTTCAAAAAATTCAGATGAATTTCGACCTCTACAAATGAATCCTCCAGATTGAAGATCGTCATTTTACGATTGCGATCCAAGGACGAAGCATGGGAAGCAAGTGCGTCCTGTGGTGGAGCTTGGTGGCCATCGTCGCCGTTGCAAAGGCGCGGCGACACGACATTACATGCTTGAACACGGAGTCCTCCGTTGACGAAGACCGTGTCCTCGACTGCTACCCCCCACGACCAGGATTCCCCAATGCGACGGAAGAATTCTGCCGTGCACAAGGGTGCTGCTGGAACCCGACACGATCGCCACCATGCGTTTTCGGCTCGGTACCGCCCCCTACTTCTGCTAGATGCTCTGCCGTCCCAGTATTGTCTCGTGTGGCGTGTCGAAACCCTCGCTACTTTCTGCGTCCTCAGAACGCGACCGATTGCGCTGCGATGGGCTGTTGTTTTGATGCCACATCCAACTCCACCACTGCATGTTTCCAGCCATCTGCTCCTGGGTATGTCCTCACGCATTGGCAGGACGTTCCCATGGGATACTCTGGAACGTTAACGCTGTCCGGTGCTGCCGCTCGTGGACCGTTTGGCAACGACATCTCGACGCTGGCGATTCAAGTGCAGTTGGAGTCCAACACCCGCGTCCGCGTGCGCATTTTCGACCCAATTTTTCGGCGCTACGAAGTGCCACTCCCCCTTGCAAACGCTTCGTCTATGCACGACCACAAACGGTTGTTCGAGGTCTCTGTGACGAAGGCGCCGTTCGGTATTGCCATCACCCGCCTTGCAACGAACGAAGTGCTGTTCAACTCTACGCCCGTCGCGTCGTGGAATGGCCCGCTTGTGATTTCCAACCAGTTCTTGGAGCTTTCCACAAGAGTTCTAACGACGCCAAAGCTGTTTGGTCTCGGGGAGCATGTCGGCCGGCTGGTCAACCCCGCCCGCGGAGACCACTACACGCTGTGGACGCGCGACCGCCTGGCAAACGCAGGCAACGCGCATACGGCGGCTGGCGGTGACAACGAGTATGGCGTCCATCCCTTCTACATCCGCGTGGAAGATACAAATCCAACGCTTGCCCACGGCGTCTTTCTCCTCAACAGCAACGCGATGGAGGTCGTGGCGTCTCCCACTGCAATCACGTTTCGAACCGTTGGTGGTATCCTCGACTTGTTCGTGTTTTTAGGGCCATCTCCACGTGACGTCGTGGCTCAGTACACCGCCTTGGTCGGCCGACCGGCCATGCCGCCGTACTGGGCGCTCGGGTATCACTTGTGTCGGTACCATTATGCTAACGTGGATCAAGTTCGCGATGTCGTGCGGCGCATGCGGGCGGCCGACGTTCCTCAAGACGCCCAGTGGACCGACATTGATGTTCTCGACGGGTTCTTCGACTTCACTTGGGACAACACGGCGTTTCCACACATGGACCGCTTTGTCCACAACGACTTGCATGCGTTCGATGTCCATTACGTCCCGATCGTGGATGCAGGGATTGGAATTTCGCGACCGACGGACGCGGCATTTGCCGACGGGTTGACGCACAACGTGTTTATGACCGCTGGCGGGTCGAACTCGTCCGTGTTGGAGGTGAATCGAGTGTGGCCAGGGGACGTCGTGTACCCAGACTTCTTCCATCCCAATGCGTCGGCATACTGGTGGGTCCACGCGTCGTGGTCTGGATCGACCTGAATTTGCGGTGTGGGTGACGTAGGGAGGCGCAGCTGCGACGGTACTACACGACCGTGCCGTACGACGGCATTTGGCTAGACATGAACGAGCCAAGCAGCTTTTGCACGGACAGCGACTCGTCCAGCTCGTCCTGCCCCTTCCCGACGTCGCCATTCGTCCGATCGAGCGACACGATGTATCCCATGGACCCGTATCGCCAGCCGTTTGCCCCTGGCCAGCACCACGACCACGGTGGCAACCTGGCAACCATGACGGCGTCCCTCGCCGCGCATCAGTTTCCATCGCTACATTACAACTTGCACTCGATGTATGGCCACTCGGAACTTGTCGCGACGCGGCGCGCCGTCGAGCGCATCCGTCGCAAGAGGCCATTTGTGCTGTCCCGATCGACGTTTGCTGGAGACGGCAGCGACGCCGCCCACTGGCTCGGCGATAATGCAGCGACTTGGACCGATCTCCGACTGGGTGTGGCGGGAGTGCTGGCGATGAACATGTTTGGGTTGCCCATGGCGGGGCCAGACACGTGCGGGTTTGATGGAAACACAACAAAAGAGTTGTGCATTCGATGGCACCAAGCAGGGGTACGTCGATATCTTTGGTGATGGTGGACGATGGATGGCCGTGCAAAGAGTTGGTGTGCTGCGTTGGTTGGTCTCGGGATGTCTCGGTTGGTATCACGACCTCATGCGTGTGTATTCAGATCTTGTTTCCCTTTTTGCGCAACCACAATGCGGCCGAAAAAGACCAGGCGCCTGTGGATTTCGACGACGAAGCGACGGCCATTCTCCGCCACACGCTGCGTCAACGGTACCAGCTACTGCCATATTTGTACACACAACTGTATCGCATGCACGTGGACGGCGGGAACGTCGTGGTGCGCGCGCTCTTCTTTGAATTCCCGTCGAACGACACGTTTGGCATCGATTCCCAGTACTTGGTGGGCCCAGCTTTGCTGGTCTCGCCCGTGCTGGACGAAGGAGTGGTGACTGTCCATGCGACGTTTCCACGGGCGGCGGCTTGGTACGACCTGTGGACAGGTCACAAGGTTGACAACGACGTGGATGGCACGGTCCACAGCGGGGACCCGATTGTCCAACTGGATGCACCGCTTGCCGCGGTTCCATTGCACATTCGCGGCGGTCATATCGTCCCGCAGCAACTGCCTGGGCGCACCACGACTGCCAGCCGAATGAACGCATTTCACCTTGTTGTGGCGCTGCCCCAAGCCACAGAAGACCTGCCGTTCGTGCGGGCTACTGGTGAATTATACATGGATGGCGGCGACTCGCTGGACCCCGTTGGCCACGGCGTATACGCTCTCGTGTCGTTCTCGGCCGTCCATTATCCAGACAAGGGGTACGTGTTTATGACGGGTCGCGTCGACCACGGCGGATTCGATGGACCGCAGGTGCGCGTCGCGGTCGAGTCCATTTCGGTAAGTGCTTGGTTTGCAAGAGGTTGGCAATGCTCGATCGGTAGGTGTATGGCACCCGAGGCTATCGGCTAGGCCAGGCCATCGACGTCGAATGCGCTCAAGGCACAACGTCGTCGTCAGGTTTGGCAACTTACAACCCAACAAGCGAGACTTTGGCTGTGCATGCGCTCACGATCGTCGTGGGCGAACCGTTTGGTGTCCGTGTGCGTCCAGCGGGTTCGCTGGATGATCGTACAGTTTGGTCGAGCCATCTCGACGACGCCCTGGCGCAAATGTAAAACGTGTTTCAAAATCAATACAGGACGCCACCCAACAGAGGCTTTGCATCCTACGGCATCGCGAGCTGCAGCGAATGGCAGATGGACTTGCACTGGTGCGACGCAAAGAAAGTGTCCATGCCCCGGCGGCCCAAGTTGGTGGCGCAGTTGTACCGCTCCAAATCGACGCAGTGCACAGCTGGATCGGTCAAGACCAGTCCGTGGGTTGTGCGGCAACCTTGGAGGTCGACCACCATCAGCTTTTTCTTGGTCACTTGCCACGTCCAGTGGGAAAATGCCATAGCCACATTGACCGCATCCGCCGCCGATGCGACGTCGCACACATATCCAACGTTGTTGGTTAGCTTGATCGCGTCGGACCGAGGCAGACGCTTTTCCCATCCATAAAACACACACGCGTCCCCCGTCGACGGGGAAAGTCGCACGACTTTGGCCTTCATAAAGCATATCTACTACATCCACATGAGACTCCTCTCGAGAGTCGGTGCAACCAGACCTTGATCGGTGGATTCGCTTCACGATTGAATTGCCGAGCTAAAAAAGCGGCGGCCACTTGGCACTCCATCGCTTGCATGTAGCGGCAGCCCTCGGCCGCCCCTCCACACATGTCTGCGTTCCCGTCCAAAAACGACTTGGCCACCATGTCTTCAACTTGATACGTATACGCCGCCTCGGTTGCCGACGTCGATCCGTGCGCCACATCGGTCCAACTCGAGAAGCTCGTAGTCATCGACGACTCGGTGGATGCAGTCGCCACACTCAGCTTGTGATACTCTTGGGCGAAGTACACCACGCGGTCCGACCCAAAGGCAAACGGATGGGGGGCCACCCGCAGCGTGATGGGGCGAACCATCGTATCCATGGTGCCGGCGACGAGGCTGTCCACGTCGGTGGGGGGCACGTACGACACTACTGACGCTCTGACCAACGCCAGCGTCGACCAGTTGGGTGGATGCGGACAGAACATCATGCTTCGTCGTCGAGGTAACTCGGGCGCAAGTCCACCCGAGGTGGACCCGACTCGCCCTGCGCTGGCATGCTCCTCACTTGCGACGCTACTGAGGCGAGTGGACATAGCCGCCCCCGACGACACACTCGCCGCAATGTGCACGGGGTCAGTCACGTCAAATACTGCCATCGGCACGCCAGCATCAAGGCATGCCGCTTGAAATGCCGCGACCATCTCCCTAGTGCTGGCCTCGTCGACTTGGCCAAATTGGTATTGAATCTTCAATGCACCGAGCAAGCCAAACAAGACATGGAGGGGCTTGTCGCTCTTGTGGCCGTCAGGGTACGAGTCGCGGCCGTGGTAGAACCGGCGGCCATGAGGCGGCGCATCTCCAATGTGGAACAGGACGTTCGTGGTGTCCTGCGGCCACGGAAGCTGCGACACGGCAGCAAACAGCCCTCCTAAGACGTCTTCGGGGACGTCCCCGCCGCCTTTCGCTTGGACAGACTGAACATGCCGTTCAAAGTACGCCACGTCCGTCGTAAACGGTAGCACGTCGATGCGGTCGGCGCCGTCGCAGTGGTCCTTGTACCCGACAAACGCGACGAAAGTGTGTGGTGGTCCGAGGCCGGCTATCGACGCCACCAGCGCCGAAATCTGCTGTTTCACCGACAGGATATGCCGTCCCATGCTGCCTGTCGTGTCCATCAAGAAGGCCAAATACATGTCACGCGTCGGCCGCACACTGTGGATTGCGATCGCCACCGCCTTCTCGCGTGTGCTACGGATGGCTTGAATGGCCACCTCGCTGCCCTCGATACTCGTCGCGCTCAGCGCATCTGCCAGGGTTTTGTCGCTGGCGATGGCGCCGCACACATTGCGCTCTGTTGCTTCGGCGGCGCTCGTGGGGCGACATCGGTGGCTTGCCATCACACGAGAAAACTCCGATGTGCCAGCGACAGGGAGCTCCAACGGGCCGTTGGGACAAGGTTCAAAGACGATGTTGCAACGGCGAGTCACTTGGCCATTTTGACAGTTGATGGCCGGCTCGGTGTTCAACGTGGCGAGCCTGAGGTCGGAAATTGATGTCGGCCCGTCGGCGTACTTCCCGTCGTCCTTCGCGCGGCAGTCGGGTGTGGCCGGCAGCACAGCGGCGCAATCGTTCCAGTGGCGCGATGCGATGGCCAGCATTGGCGAGCATGAGGAGTGGCAGGTGACAGGCACCGAGGACCTTAACCACACGCTGCGCACCGTTCGGCACCTGCGAGCCAAGTCGATGGGGCGCATCGTTCACAGCTTGAAACGGGCGCAACACGTGTACGTGGCGTTCGTGATGGACACGACCGGTAGCATGGGCGAGCATTTGGACATGGTGAAGGCGCAAATCGCGGCAATCGCGACGGCCTTGGAACTCGTCGGGCTGGAACTGTTGGTGGGGTTTGTGGGCTACAAGGACCACGGGGACGCCGACTCGATTCAAGTGCTGCCATTCACGTCGAACGTGGGCAAGTTTCAACGCTTTGTGGAAGCAATCGACGCCAACGGAGGAGATGATGCGCCGGAAGACGTTCTTGGCGGCCTCTGGGCGGCGGCGACGCAGCTTCCGTGGGAGCCGGAGTGCACAAACGTTCTGTTTCACATTGGGGATGCTCCGCCCCATGGCACGACGTACTGGACAGGGTACGACAACTTTCCCAGTGGCCACCCCCTCGACCAGTCGCCAGGCGCCATCTTTGGGCAATTGCTTGCACTCAATGTGGCCTACTACTTTGGGAAGCTCACAACATGGACGGACATGATGGTACAAGTGTTTCGACGGCATGCTGCCATCACGGTGTTTGACGTCGGGGATTCGATTGACTTGTACGGCAGCGTTATCACGGCCACGCAAGAGTCGGTGGTGTACCACCAGCAACGAGTCCTTGGCAGCGTTGGGTCGGGCCAAACGTTTGATTTGCGCGTCCCAACGTGGTCGGGTATAAAGCGCCGACAAGCCGAGTTGGCGAGGTATCGCTGCAATCCCGCGACTCTTTCGGCTGAAGACGTCACGGCTCCCATGACCATGCTCATTCGCAAGAGCACAGTCCGCATTGCGCCACTGCCGTTTGCCCGCGGCTGCGAGCGGTCCGCCTTCTATGCCCAGGAGATGGTCAGCGATCCAAACGCGCCATCCAAGTGTTCGTGGCAACGGATGGTTGCCAAGCGCTTTCTTCGGAATGAATCTAAATCTGCCAACGGGGTTGAAGGCCGGTAGAACGCTTTGTCGTCGAAGACTGAGGCTGAGTGCTGCTTCATGTAGGTATCTGAAGGCGATGGAAGGCCAAGCCATGGCGGCAGCGTTGGCGCAAAACTTCAACAAACTCATGGCAACTGGTCCCTTGGCAGCCGTGTCGCTGTCGTTCTTGGAGGCGAGCGTAGCAAAGTTGGCCGACGGCGACGAGTTTGTCGCGATGGAGCGGTTCCTCCCGTCCTTTGAGCGGTTTTCCAACAACGTGGACTGGGTCTCCCCGCGGGAGGCAACGGATCCGTGCGTCCAATACGCCGTCGCCTTCACGCACTGGACGTGGGTTGCCACGAAGGGGTATTTGATGGTGGTCGACTTGCAGGGTCACCGTGCGAACAACGACACGATGGTTTTGACCGATCCAGCCATCCATTGCACCGACATGGTGCGCTTTGCGGGGGGGACGAATCTCGGTGCGCGAGGCATGGACGAGTTTTTTGCGACGCACACATGCAACCACTTCTGCGACGGCTTCCAGTCACTCATGGCTGGCCAATCTACCACTCGGAAGCGATCCATGTAGACGTGGGGGGGTTCGACCCAAAGTGAGGTTGACGTTTGATAAAATGAAGTGGCGGATGCCATTGTGTGGTGCGATTGTATCGACCACGATTTGAAGGATGTGAAGCCTGGACATTTATCGAGTGAGTGCAGAAGGTGGAAGGGCAAAAGACGTTCACTGGAAGCGCATGCCGTGGCGCATGCCCTCAGCCCCTGTTTGATTGCTCGTTTGACAGATGCTCTATTGTGTGGACATGAGCGCTTGTACGAACACAACAGGTGGTTGAAGTTTCGTCTCAGCCATTCATTGCGAAACAACTCGTATTCGGCCTTCTCCAGCGCCCCTGTTGCAGAGTGACAGCGGCGACCCACCCGATCCTCCAACGTACGACGACAACGGCCCACCGATCATGTCGATCGCGGCGGAGGCAGCAATGACGGCGACAGTGCGGCATCAAAGAGAACAGAGTCCTCCTGCGCAGGGACGACCACTACCTCATAGAAAGGTCGCCTCTGTCGTCTTATTCCTGGCTGAACAACGTTGTGTTTTGGTGCCTGGACCATGCTGCACGTAATCTCGTCAGGCGATCTTGGCGAACGTTCCGCGCGAGATGGAGAACGGGCACGAATTTCTCGGTCGCAACGATTTTTCACCACATTGCGACGATGCGCTTGATGCTGCTGGTAGCCATTGTCGGTACCGCGCAGTCCGCGTCGCCGTGGGTATCAAAAACTCCCACAACGACGTCCATCCCTCCGTCAACTCTTCCGCCTCCTCTCATCACGCCGACAGCGTCGTCACGGAGCACGACCGCTTCCCCGACGGTTCGACCGAGTACAACCATCCAGACAACGACACCGCCGCCACAGACACCATCAACATCACTGCCACAATCGCCACTTACCACCACAGCCCGGCCGAGTCCACCACCGTCGGCGACTGTCCAGTCAACAGAAACATCCACCGTCCTCACCAGCAATGCGACCGAACTGCCCGTGGTTACCACAACGGCGTCGATTCCAGCAGCGAGTGACCCTCGGACAGGTAGCCCTCCGCAAACTGTCGCGCTCGCTGCTCTGACGAGTGCATCGTGCTGACCAGAGAGCTCGGTGGCTCCCTCGAGCACCAGCGGATCCGTCGGGTCATCGTCGTCGACTACGATCGTTCTCGCGGTTTTATGTTCGTTGGTGACGCTCGCAGGCGTTGCCGGCATCTACTGCATTGTGTATCGCAACACAGGATTCATTTCGGACTACGAAGCCTCCATGGTGGCGTCTGAGACGCCCTGCCGTCGGTCGTCGTTCGCGGCGACGATCGGGGCATCGCTTTACGAAGACATCACGACAACTACGATCGAAATCAATCCGAGGCATCTCACGTTTGAACGGATCGTCGGCACCGGGTCCATGTGCGAAGTCTGGCTTGCGCAGTGGAAACCAAATCCAACGATGGGCACCACCCCCGTCGCCGTCAAGCGCCTGCTGCAGAAGCGGCGCAATGATCACGACGTGTGCATCTTCCTCGGGGACACCCGGCTCCTGGCAGTGTACGACGACGTGGCTGGGTCGACCTAGCTGTGGCTGCATAACGGACTGTGCGGTTCGTAGCTTACGACACCCCAACATCGTGGCGGTGCTTGGAGTGTCGTGGCAGTCGAAGAAAAACATTGAGGTTGTGCTGGAGTACCTCGACGGCGGCAGCCTGCGGCACCTGCTCACGTCGTCGAGTCCGTTGTCGATGGGATGGCTCGGTACGAAGCAATCGATCGCCATGGACGTGATCGACGGCTTGGTAAGCTCTCCGCGATGGCGACTCGTCTTGGTTTTGGCGGGTCAGTGCGACGGCTGGCTGGTTGTAGGTCTATCTGCATCAAGAAGAGATTATCCATCAGAAACTCACTGCCGATTCTGTTCTCGTTCACGCGACTGGTCGTGGGGTTGGTGCCAAGCTGGGCAACTGCGGGTCCATGTACAGATTGCGGCAGCCGACCATGTCAGCCCGAAGCACCGTTTCGCTAACAATCTTCTCTCCCAAGTCGAGCCAGACCGACAAACATCACCAGCAGCAGAGGAGAAAATGGATGGCTCCGGAGGTCCTTCGCGGCGAAGAACCGACTCGTGCCGCCGACATGTATGCATTTGGGGTGCTCTTGTCCGTTTTGGACACCCACGACGACCCGTTCAAACGAGAGGCCATGGACGATTCTCTCATCTTGCAGCGCGTGAGTCTCGGCGACATGCGGCCCACGCTTTCTCTCCTCTGCCCCCCCTTCATCCACGAAATTGCTCAAAAGTGCTTGGACGTGACTCCCCAACTCCGCCCCACAGCTACAGACGTCGCGGGGTGGCTTCACACGCGAGGCCTGTGCACGTCATCGATGTTGTCCACTTCAGCCGCAAACTCTCGGCGGGGAAGTCTGGCCTTGAGCGCGTCAACCAACAGCTTTCAAGGCAGCTTGCCGTCCCTGGCGATGAACCGACCGCAAAAACCCAGACTTGATACGAGCGTTGTTCTCTAAGTAGATCTGCATGCGTGCAAGATGATGTCGTGTACGATGGCGTGTGCATTGCGCATGGGCGGAGACCACAGCGTCATTTCAACGAGCATTGCGCACGGCTCGAAGACGGAGGGACATCATGGGATGGATTACTGGATGCAAGTCCCAGGCGCATCAGCGGAAGTATGCCACATTACTTCAGAGTGGTCGGTACGTCCACGGCTTTGCGCCAGTGCTCCATGGCATCACGATGGTGCTGCACTTCTTCTGCTGGAATCGACGGTCCTTTGAGAATGCCAGGGCACCCTTCCTTCGCGGACTTCAGTCGCTCCCACGTCTGTCTGGTCTCGAGATTCTCTGGCCAGTACGGCCAAGTTCGGCATTGCATTGGGCGGGCGTGGTACAGAGAGCACACGGCCTTGCCCTTGACGAGTTTGCGGTCGAGGAAGATGCAGTCGAAGCCGTCGGACGTTCGTTTCTGTTTGAGTTGGAAAAATGATTTTGCTCCACGGCCTTGCCGCCGCGCATACTTTTGAAGAAACTCTGGCACCGACGTGTCCATTTTCGTCGCCATGGCATCCACCTCCGAGTCCAAAAAACGCACTTGCCCCTTAGTCCCGGAGCAGCAGTTCCCGCATTTCGTACACGAGAACGACAGACCTGCCTTGAACCACGGCTCGGCCGTTGCAGAGGCATATCTGCGAGCATTTCGAAGAGCATTGATTCCTGCGGCACGTGCAGGAGCATATTGCGTGGCGCCACTTGTGGATAGTCTTGTTGTCTGCCGCGCCAACATGCCGTTTCAGAACGTCATGCAACCAATGGAAATTTGTTTATTTGTAGCATGTATGATGAATACGAGATCGAATTATTGCACGGTATATAATTCACCAGAAGCAATTAATTTGTGATCTACAGTACTTGAAGTAAGTTGGAGTATAATGGACTTATGCAATAAATCAATTCAATTCACGTACCGTCTAGGACTACGGTTACCGGATAAACCTCCCATCGTCTTTTACTGTAGGTGTGATGGGAGAAGATATATTCACGTTTTCACCATGCCGCCACCTTCGCCGACGTACACCGTCCACTGGGAGAGTGACCATCTCGGTGTTTGGCTACAGGAAGACCCAACATCAGGGGCGGCCGTGATCTCCAAACTCGTGCGCCCGCTTCCACCTCACTTTGCGCAGCTGGACGCAAGTGAAGGTAGTGTCGGGGACGTGCTGTATTCTGTAGAAGCAGAACAACGAAGCGGTCCGATTCCATACAACGATGCCATTGCGATCCTCCAACACCCCAAGCTCCCACTGTATCTCGTATTTCGCAACCGCCGCAATGACACGCCAATGTACGTTGCTCCACCGTTGGCGACTGCGCGACGATACTCATTCGAGTGGACCGTCGACATGAAACCCCTCGGCATCTCGTTCGCGAAAGACCCGATTACACTTGTCACGAATGTGTCCAACATTAACGAAGCCGTGCTTCCGCCAGCTTTGAAGAATTGCCACCCCCGAGTGGGCGACATTGTTGTGTCCATTGGCGATACAGTCGTGACCGAGATGAAGTTCCACGATGTGTTGGCCATGTTGGGTCATGTAGAGAAGCCGATTGTGCTTGCATTTGAGCAGGCCCAGTTGAATACGGCGTCTATAGACGGAGGGTACGACATCAAGTACCATGGCGAACGGCTGGGTCTTGTGTTTGAAAAGCATGGCGATTCCGATCGGCCCGTCGTCACGAAAACGACCGGTGCACAACCAATGGCCCAGGTGGGCGACGAGCTGGTCGCGATTGATGGGGTCGATACCAAGTCTCTTGGTTTTGATCAGGCCATGGCGAAACTGCACCATGTGGACGGGACGCTTCGCTTATCCTTCACAGTCGCGCCACGGCCGCCGAGCGTCGTTGACGATCGCGGCGAATATGATGTGCACTATCTGGGCGGCCGGCTCGGTCTTGTTCTCGTGGAAGGTCGGACGAAGTCGAGTCATCCTTTAATTGATCAAGTCACAGACGCATCGACCTCCGTCGGACTTGAGCTCGCGTCCAAGGGCGATATTCTGCTGTCCGTTGGTGGTGTCGACACTGCGACCCTGGGATTCGCCAAGACTGTTGCTATGATCAAGCAGGTGAACTCCCTCGTCGTGCTGCGATTTCAGAAAGCCGGTAGCGTCCGCACTGAGACGACTGCGGCCGGCTTGCTGCTGACGATGGTGGAAGCGCTCTTCATTTAGGACTCAAAATGTAGCGTCTGTATGTGATTGGGAATGTATTTTTACGTTTGTTCGAGATTTATTAAAAATGTGTGACCAAATATTTACGCAATATTATTTTTCAATTTGTTCTATTTTATTGATGTATTCTCACTCCTCCGGTCAACACTCTCAACAGTTTTAAGCTATGAGTTCGATGTACCATTCATTTAATTTTGCAACTATTCTATCTATTATATTATTCAAATGGTCACACCCTTCGGCATATGGCGATATTTACTGGCCGAAATCTACTTGCAGGTACTTGATTGGCCAATTTGTATTTGTATTTAAAATATTTCTAGAATGTTCATACAAACGGCAAGGTATTTTTTGTGCCGTCACGTCCCACATTCAGCTTCTACCAACGAAATCGCCCAAATCCGCGCTGCGGTCGCTGGTATCATGGACGACGAAATCGAAGGAACGCCGCTGTCGTTGCTTCCACACCGCGACGATGTCTCGTCCAATTCAGACAGCATGCATACTCTCGAAGTCCGTGTGTTTGAGCTCGTGACGGAGTTAGTTCCAGACGCCTACGACCCATACGGCCAAGAGGACCAACGGCCAAACGAACAAACAACGATCCGCAACATGAATTGGCTGTCGGAGACCCTCGAGCAAGCTGAGGCCGTGTTTCGGCACTTTCCTGCGCCTCGAAGGGATGGTCAGTTGATCGGGCATCTCTTGCGCATCCTGGATGACTTTGAGGACTTTTACTCGATGCTCGAACGCAAGTTGCAAGCCGAGAGTGCCGAACGTGCCAACAACGACGAGATGAATGCCGCCGTCTGTCGACTTCTCCTGGCCACAGCACCTACCAACGCACGTTTTATCATTCGACTCTTGTACGACGAAGATATCTTGGACCGCATCACGAGATGGGCAAACACTGACGACGCTTCGACGATGCATCGGGTGCGGCTTCGATGCTACGCGTGTGGGTTGCTCTCCGTCGCGTTACGCGATCGCTCAGTTGCGGACTTGGTTGTGAACCACGACACATTTTGCGTCAACTTGCTCAAGCGCGCACGATTCTTTGCCAGTGCGTTGGAGCGTGAACACAACGCCGCTGCCGAGTACATGCTGGAAGTACAAAGGCGAAGCATTAGCTCGAAACACAAAAAGCAAACGAATAGTGGGGCGATCGTGTCGTCTACGAAGAAGCGGAAGCTGTCCATGGACGACAAGAAGGAGCCGCCGTCCGCATCGCAGCCCGGCAAAGCGCCTTCCAATACGTCCACCACCACGAATTCCGACGCGGCATCCCTTGCACCACAGCTAGACACAGAAGCGCCCAAAGATGATGAAACGATCGCCGCGCGTCTTGCCGACCTGATCGACGTCCCGATCGAAGACACCCCGCGCCCCAACCACGACCAAGGGCTTCTCGAGATCGCCCTGCTGGACCTGCTCTACGCTGTCGAGTGCATAGGGTTGATGGGAGAGTACCTGGAGCTGCTCGCGTCGGCCCTGAAGGACGATATCGTGGGCACGAGCATCACGCTGTTGCACACGACCCACACGAGCGTGTGGTCGGCCACACTCAAGTTGATTTCGCACTTTCTTGCGCACAAAAAGTTTGCGTTTTCATTTTTGGACGCCGGTGGCCTCGAACTTGTCTTGTCGGCGCATGCGACGCCGCTGCGCTTTGCCCTGCTCCATCGATCGCTCAGCATGTGCTTGCACGGCTTTGCTTCGTCCAGCGTCGTCACCGAGATCATCCTGACGCGGGAAAGCACGCGCTCACCGCTCCTGGCCATGGCGATGGCGCTACTCTCGAGCCCGCATGACCGCGCCCGTCAAAATGCAGTCGTATTTTACGGCCTCGTCGTTCCTTTTCGATCGGCCCTCGAATACTTTGAAACCCATGACGGCTTGTATACCCTGTTCAACTTGATTCGCGCCGGGAATACGCCGAAGACCGCCGTCCAGCGTCAGCTAGCGCACGACGCGTGCCTGTGTCTGCGGCAATACGTTCGCGTGCACTTTGGAATGTTGGCACAGGGCCTTCGACGCAAAATGGACTCAACGGGCTCGCGGTCGTCGCAGCCAAAACAAAGCGCCGGGAAGCCCGTCGACATCGACGACAAAGCGCATGAGCAACACTTGGCACTCTTTGAACTCCACCGCCCGCCGCCGAAAGATTTGAAGTGGCAGACACAGTTTAGCCACTTGCGCGGGCCTCTCGTCCTCCTCGAAGTGCTCGATGTCTTCCATGCCCACTCCGTGGCGACTGACCCGTCCAGCGAACCGACGTCATACCGTCTTTGGTTAGTTGAGCGCGCGCTGTTTAGCCTACAAATTCTCCGCGTGCTCACGCTTGCATACCCGCCGATGGCGCTCGAGATCTGCCAGACGGCGCTCCAAGACTCGCAGCGTGCTGGGCTCACTATCTTGCTCGACTGTGCCATGACTGGTCATCCCCGCGACGGTGACATCGTCAAGGGTGCCATTCAAGTCTTTTGTAATTGCGTGTTGGACCACAAACCACCGCCCAAAGCCAAGGACGACAGAGCGACGGTTCACCCGTCGCTCCGATCTATCCTGAAGCTCGCCCGCGAAAAGAACGCGATCAAAGTGTGCTTACAGCTGCTTCGGTACAAGCGATCCCTCCAGCAAGCCGACGCGATTCGATTGCTGGCGACGCAGGCGCTACTCGGTCTGTCGAAAGACCGCCATGTGACGCAAATCCTCGAGCAGATGCAAATCGGTCCGTGAGTTGTCGACTTGAGTGGATCTCGTGGGTGACTGACTCAAGGCTTCATTTAGGTCAGCTTCTCTCCGACTTGATTCGCGCCGAGCCCGTGCTGGAGGAAAACGCCGATGTGCAGGCGAAATTTCGAGTCTGCGCGCTGGACCTTATCTCACACGTGACCCACCGCGCGCCGAGTGCCACGATCCATGAAGCAACCGATCCGACCGTTCGCAAGATCGAAAAAGCCAACATTGTCGCCGCCACACGGATCACATACAACCCGACGGAACTTCTCGTCATGATCCACGAACATTTGAAAGCGAACGGATTGCATCATGCTGCCGATGCGCTCGAGCGTGAAGCGGCGCTAAAGCTCCCTGCGTCGTGCCCCAGGTATCTTGGTCGGTTTGTACCCACGTCTTGATGGCCCATGATCCGTAGCCCGCAAAAGATTTCCAAGAAAGCCAAGTCGATTCACGCTGACGCTGACCAACCGCCGTCTAAAAAAGCCAAGGTCCATGCCGCGCCCAAGCTCCTGTCGTTCACCCAACGCCGCCAGCAGATTCTGAACTCGTGGAAACACAAGCCGAGCTACTTTGACGCAGTCGAAGCAGCGACCACCACACATCTTAACGCAGTGCTCTCGCCCAAAAGGTCGACCTGCGTGTCCAAAAAAGTTGCTCCAAAGCCGACGTGGCTGGACACGGTGGTCCGGCAGCATTTACGGGAACAGCATCGGCTGTGTCCGCACCCAGTCTCGGTTGTCCCGCCGTTTTCTCTGACTTCTTCCAAGTCCCATCGCTGTCCCGATGTGTCGGTCCCGCCCTTGTACGCCATCCCGTTCTTCATGTCTACATATACCCATGCGAAGATGGTCATGTATCGGTGGGTAGGTATGCCAACGTGTGCAGTCGCCTCTCGACACGCGGCGCTGTAGGCCACGGCCCCGACATGAACTTCAATCGATTTGTGTCGAGCCGCCACCGTCCGTTTCAAATCATGGGTGAGTCGAACTCGTTTCGAGTTAGTCTGTGTGGGTTTATATGTGACCTTTTCAAGTGTCCCCGCCGCTCAAAACTGGAGCAATCGAGACTTGTCTTGACCGATGGATGGACAGAGGTGAATTTCTTTGTGTAGGCCATCCCCATGGACAAGCCCAAGGCGGCCTGACCGCTGCCCGCTTCATGACGTCTCGACACATTCTCCTTGGCACGGACCACGGCGAAGTTCTTCAAATGCACTTGGACCATGACGAAATTGTCGGGTATTGGAACTGCCATGCGAATGCAGGCGCTCTCACCGACATATCCACGAATGAGCACACTCGCGCCCGGACACTCCATCCACTCTTGCTCACGGGCACGACTCGGTATGGAGCGCCTCGCGCAGACGTTATTTTGCCAACTGCATCTCTCACGATTTGAATTGCAGCATGGCCAACTACGTTCAATCGAAAGTCGGGCTGTGGAACTTGGGCTCGATGGACGAAGCGAGGTGGACGTTGTCGTCGGTGCGAAGTCCTCGATTCAACCATGGCGGCGACCGCATCGTGGCGCTGGCGTGCCACGATGGCGATTCGCTCGAGTCGGACGTCGTGCGTGGCACTGCCATTTACGACGTCGAGACCGGTAGGTATCACGCATGTGCCGGGAAAGGTCACGTCGCTTGTCGCACAGGAACACTCTTGTCGCATTTGGCGGATGCGTCGCGAGGGGAGCCAGGTCACACGTACGGGGACAGCTCCAACTGCTCGTTCTCTCCGTGTGATGCGACGGTGCTGTCGGACGGACTGCTCTGGGACGTGCGGTCATCCGCGCTTCTGCACAAATTCGACAAACTGTCCAACTTTGGCTATGGGTTTTACAACCCGAGCGGAAACGAAGTCATCATCAACTCGGCCGTGTGGGACCTCCGCACGTTCAAGTTGCTTCGAGTCGTGCCGGCGCTTGAATCGAGCAAGATCCAATTTTGTTCCTCGCGCCCAATGATGTATGTGTATTCGCCGTTTGAGCCGCTGGCCCCAGCAGTACGTCGCCACTGCGTTTGTTGCACAAAGCGTGTGACGGCTGCGTGTGGGTAGAAGGAGCCATCCAAGAAAGCCGCCAAGAACCGAACGTGGTTGCGCGTGATGGACACGAGAGATTACAAGGACGTGTCGACGGTCGACATTGAGCGGCCCATCTACGACGTATGCTTGAATGCGCAAGAAACGGCACTGGGGGTACGTGTGCCGTTCCCGATCGAGGGTTCCATCAGTGCGACCCAAGGCTCGACGTAGATTGTCGAAGGACGGTATTTGGACTCGGTGTACGGCCAGGACGACCCTGTGTGTCGACTGTACGAGGTGCGAAGTCGACTTGAATTGTCGTGTTGATTGATTGCGTTGATGGACGACAGATTGGTCGAGACAAGCCCAACGAATGCGACTCGGACCTGGAAAACACGCTCGACGACGGCGAGTCGGAATCGATGGTACGTCGATGGATCGACGTCCGAGATGCACTGCGCGACTGACGGGGGGACGCAGGACGAAGAGGAATTTGGCGAGTCGGCGTCGAGTGGATCGGACGACTTTAGCTCGAGTGGCAGCGCAGGCGATGACTCGGAAGACGACTTTGACACGGATACGGACTTTGACGCGATGGACGACGAAGCAGACGCCGGCCACTTGGTTGTCCAGTGGGCCAACTTGTACGACAACGAAGACGAAGGCGGCGACGATGCCGAGTGACAGTCTGCGCACGGATGTAGAAGCGTTGGCCGGTTCTTGGAAACAAAAGTTGGACTTGAAAATTGGAGTCGACTCTCCACAACGACCGGAATCCAGCAAGTTATTCGCGGCGTCGTTTTGGGGGCTCGTTGGTCGGGGCACACCGTCCAACACGCACATGTCTCGCCGACATCTTTCAAAGTTTCGTGCTCGGCAGCGCAACGGGTGCAGGTGGCACGCAGCCTTGTCGAGGCGCGACAGGCAACAAAGATTTCATCTCTCGCAAAAAAATCGCCCAGGTTCCTCCTTTCGTTGCCAAAGGGATCATCTCCCCCAGGCAGGTGCAAACGTCTCTGTACAATCACAGGGACAGCTCTTGGTCAAGTAGTGGTTCCAGGAATATCACGCCCGCCCCCAGCACGGTTGAAGGTATGGACATGTGCGCCACACCGTCCAGCAATGCGAGCGCTGCACCACGACACTCAGTAGGACGACCCAACCAAGGGAGCTACACTCACCCCACGCATGTTCGCTCGTGTCTCCATCGCGTGAGCAAGATTTTTAACGTGGAAACCACCGTGCCGTCGTTGAAACGGCATGCTAAAATTAGGTTGGACCGATCTGGGTCATGCGTCGGTGGTGGGCAGCGGTGGCGCTTGGTGCGATTCCTCGCGGACGTGGCCACGAGTGCATTCACAACGACTTGGACCATGGCGTCCCGATCGCGTCATCGCAATCGTACGACGCCCATCCGCACGAAGGCGGGACGGCGCGGTACCTCATGGCGCAAATGGATGCTGCGTCTGCGTCCGTGTCGGTCGGCGCGTCGGCCCAGTACAAACCCATTCGCATCACGGCCATCTTCGACGCACCGTCCATGGCAGCCCTCGGCGCGACCAACATGAACTTTATCAAGGCGAAACTGGTGGCGGATGCACTCGAGTATTGGCGGCAAACGTTGCAGGTATGCTTGAACCGACCAAGCATTGTAGCTGTCGCTCCTCTGTTCCCCACTTGTAGGTGATCCCGATCTCGGGCCCATGGTACGCCCAACGCAACTGCATCCAGGCGTGGAAAACGACGCCGCCAGTGTGCGACGCCGTCGAGACCGATCAAATGTGCATGGAGGCGCCGATTCCAGAGAGCCACTTTGCCCCACTCCGGGTATGCACGTCGTGCCCGGCTCAAAACTGCGTCGGGGGAGCGTGTGCCTTTACGTCGTCCGGCACCGGCGTGCCCGACACCGACTACGTCCTGTACGTTCGAGCCGTTCAAACTGCAAACTGCGGCAACAATGTGCTCGCGTACGCCACGAGCTGCCAGCTCGACCAGGTACAGCGCGCATGTCGTCCGTTGTGCTCACGCAGCTGGCCATAGTTTGATCGACCGACGATGGGCATGGTCAACTTTTGCCCCCCAAAAATCAACGCGGATCCGCTCGTGTACGACAAACAGCTCAACACGGCGACGCACGAGATCGCGCATGCCCTCGGGTTTACGTCGCAGATGTTCTCGTACATGAGGCACCCCGACGGCAGCCCCCGGACGCCGCGGGATGCGTCAGGTACAACATGCGTCCGTCCAAGGGCGATTCATGACGAGAGTTGCTTGTGTCGACAGGCCGGCCCCCCATCCAACAAAACTACAAGTGCCCGAATGCGGCCACTGCGAGCTCGATTCAAATGCCGAGCGACACAACTATCCAATTCTTCACCGAGCGCGGCCACTCGGTCGCGAAATTGGTCACGCCGAACGTCCTGTCGTTTGTACGAAACTACTTCAATTGCCCAACGTTGAATGGCGCCGAGATCGAGGACGCCGACGGCGCGTGCTTGGGCAGTCATTGGGAAGAGCGCATCTTTGAGCCCGAGCTCATGAGTCCCCTCCAGAGCTACCGGAACCCTGTGACCAGCTTGACCTTGGTACGACGGACCGATGGACCTGGTGGTGGCCTCATGCACGTCGTTCGTGTGGTGTCATCTAGTCGTACTTTCAAGACTCGGGGTGGTACCAGGTGAACTATACAGGTGCGCAGCCCATGTACTGGGGGGCGAACCGGGGATGCCCCTTTACGACGGACAAGTGCATCCAAGGCAACGTTCCCGTCCCGAGCGATCACTTTTGCGTCGACGCGGCCGTCGACAGCTGCTCGGTCGACCTCACGTCCCGCGCGGTGTGCACCCTGCGCACGTCAACGGATTCGATCCCAGCTTACAACCAGTATTTCTCCAACCCGAGCTTGGGGGGCTCGTCCTTTGCCGACTATTGCCCCATTTACACGGGCTACAAGGGCGGCGACTGTCGCCTGGCCACGAATTTGCAGTCCCCCGCCGGCACGGCTTTGAATCTCCTCGGGGAGGCCTACGGCTCGACCAGCTTTTGCCTCAAGTCGACACTCCTCACGACCAAAAACGGAGGCTGGAGCATCCCAGGTCGCACGACGGGCTGCTACGCCATGACGTGCGCCGCCGGAGTCGTCACAATCTCCGTCGCCGGGCCGTCCGGGACAACACAAATATCGTGTTCGCAAAAAGGCCAGTCGGTCTCGGTCACCGGGTTCACCGGCGTGCTCAACTGCCCCGACCCGGCGATCGTGTGCGATTCGGGCCAGTGCATCCCGTCGTGCGGCGCCAATGCATTCTGCGCCGTCGGCAAGTGTACCTGCGTCGACGGCTTCACGTCCGCCTCGAATGGCACGTGCATCTCCATCTGCCCCAACGCGTGCTCGGGCAATGGCCTGTGCAACACTAAAACTACCACATGCACATGCAACACGGGGTTTGGGGGCGCCGACTGCAGCGCAACTGCTGCGTCGACCAAGAAAAGCAACGCGGTCGGGAGCCGGCTCACGACGACAATCCTTGCCGGTGCAGCGGCCATGCTCCTTTGCCTTTAAAACACTCGAACCAACGACTCAACTGTACATGTTGTTTGGAACTGTTGTCGAGATTTTTTTGGTACTCGACACCACCAGATACGCGATCGACGCGCATGTGGGCCAGGGCTAGAGCCTTCGTCCCGAGGTCGGTGCGTGTGGCTGCTGCAGCAGCGGCAGACACACTGCTGCAATGTTTGACTCGAGGAGAATTTGTTGGATCAAGGCCCGAACTTCGGCATCGTCGCACGTAATGCACCGGCAGAGCGATGGAAAGACTTCGAGGACGGTTTGCGGCGACCGATGCAGACTCGTCAAAAGCACGACCACGCGAGTTCGGTGGGTGCCAGTCGGGTCGCCAAGGAATGCCTCGATCGCGTCGACAAACACCGTGTTGAGTTGCTCACGGCACACGTTGCGCAGCGATCGGTTCAGATTCGTCGGCCCGACCAGCGTTGTCATGTGGCGGATGCGGGCTGACGCGATGCGGGAATCGTCTCCACCGGCCAAATCCAGCAGAGTCACAAATCGTTTGGTCAGTCGGGCGTCGTTGTACTGGATCACCATCATCGCGAGGACGAGTCGTTCCAGCACCGACAACTCGAGCGCGACGGCATCGTCAAAGTCGGGCGCAGGAACAGGTACCGGCTGGGGTGGGGCCCTCAACACGATCTCGACGACGTCCAATAACGCTGAAGCCGACGATGGCGGCACCGTGTGCAGTCCGAACCCAATGAGTGCCAAGAGCACCTTGAGAGCGTGCTTCCACATCGTGATCGCAGCCTTTTCGCTGGCCGTTGCCGCGCCCGGGACAACGTTGTGCTTGGTCTGAAAAAACGGCGCAATCGCAGCCAACACGTCGTCGAACGTGGCGGCTTGGGCCACAGGACTCACGTTCTCATACACTTTTGCCAGCGACTGCAGGGCATGCCGCAGCACAAACACCAGCGTCGTCGAAGTAGACGCTTGCCGCACGAATCCGACGACTTGGCGGACCATGTCGACATGGATGGCTTCGTCAAAGTAGCCGCACTCGTCGTAGCTGTTGAGGATTCGCGCGTGCAAGCTGTTCGTGGTGACGACGAGCGGCGTGTTGTTGGTTTGCAGGACAAAGCGGTGCATGGCCTTGCCAAACACTTGCAGGATTCGGTGCACCTTGGCGACGTCGTGCAGTTCGGTATCCCTGGACTGATGATAGATCGAAACAAACACCGTCACCATGGCGCTCGCAATGTCCTGTTCTTGCGCAGAGTTTTCAATCGCCGTGGTCCCGACCGCACGGTCGTCGGCCAGGCGCAGGAGCAAGTCGAATGCTTGCGTCCAAAGCTGCGGATCACGGCTCAAGAGGTTCGATTGATTCTTCGTCGTCGTAGGGGGAGTGGTAGCAGGGGCCGCGCGACCACTGGCGGACGTGGGGGTAGTGCACACGCCATTGACGACTCGCATACCTACTCCCGCCCGCAGCGGGGCCGTCGACAAATCCTGGCTTGATGTCGACGCGATCTGGAGAAGCGTGTGCAGCGTTTGAATCCCGGCCAACACAACTTCCTTTGACATGGCTCTGTCGCTGCAGCTCGTAGAGATGTACTCGATCAAGTCTTTCCAAACCAGGACAAACCAGTCTGCGTGCAGCAGGAGCGACGCCGTGTTGGTCTGCAGCACGCGGCTGACGCCGCCGAGGACGAGCACGCGGGACTCGTCGTACTGCTTCGCTACACTGTCGCGTGAGTGATGGAGTACAACGACAACGGAAGGCGGAGGCTGCGTGGACAGCGCTTCACTAGTCGCCATATCCACCACGGCCGGCGCGCTCGGGTCGGGGATAGCCACTGCTGCTGCCGCGGTCAGTTGCTGGGCAAGGGGCAAGACCGTTCCTTGGAGGAAAATCGTCCATTCCACGAGTCGGAACTGGGCGCCGTGGGTGATGGCGGTCCCAAAGAGCGTGTTAATCGCGCAGTTGCGCACTTCCGGTCGACTGTCGAGCGCGATTCGCTTGAGCTCGGAGAATGCCGTCGGCCACAGCGCAACCTCGTCGTCCGACGCCTTTTTTGCGATCGTGTCAGCGAGCGTCCACAGCTCGTTGACGGCCGTGAGACTAATGTTGACGTCGTTTGCATGCGTCGCATACGTCCCGACACACGAAATGCACGTCTGCCTGGACGAACTCTCCATGTTTACGACGAGGTCGTCCACAATCAGCCGCAAGCTTTTGAACGCTACGACTTGACACCGCGCGTCGTACTCGGCGCTCGTGGCAAGCGCTTGGAGAATCAATGGCCACGCGTCGTGCGTGAGGAGGTGGCCGGTCGTCTGCAGCAGGTCCAGGAGCCCAACCAGCGCGCGCTCTTTCATCTGGTCCGATTGTATCACACGCAAGACGTACCCGGCGACTCTGGACTGCGGCAGCGCCTCGCGCATCGACGTCAGCGCGACCTGGGCGAGTTGGAACACTGCGTCTGTGGCATACGTTTGGAACGGGGCGGACGACGGCGGAAGGGCCGCAAGGCAGGCAAACCCCACGAGTTCGTCCATCACAAATGTCCACGTATCCACGTTGGCCTTGGCAAGCTGCACAAACATGCGCAGCGAAAAGGACGGGGAAAACGATGAGTTGGTGGTGCCGCTGCCAATGCCGAGCGCCGTGTCATACGTCTTCAAGTGGTGGGCAAACGGCAAGGTCAGGACATCCCACGCCATTTGTTGGTCCGGTGACCATAGCGCTAGCAGTTGCTGGAGGTCGTCTTCGACGACAGGAGCGTTGGTGGCCGCCGCAGCTCCGTCTGCAGACGATGGAGCCACGACTAGCGCTGGTGTCGCCTGGTTGAGTTGCTCATAGCAAATAGATCGAATCGCACGCAAGATGCGGAGCAGCGCTGGCGTTTGGAGCGCTGATGTGTTGTGAAAGTACTCCAAGACGGACTGGCCGAGCATGACAAGCTGCTGCTCGACATCCTCGTCTTCGACTTTGACCGCAGTGGGGCCCGTTCCAATGCGCTGGCTCACGCCTTTGGTCTTTTGCTTGTGCGCGCTCAGCCCCACAATCACTTCAAACCCTTCGAGCAACGTCCGCCACTCGATTTCGTTCAGTTCTTGCTCCATCGTGTGGATCGTGCGAAACAGCGTCTTCATCGCGTGCATTTCCTTCCACGTGAGCAGGCATTGGTCCACGGTGCCGTCCCCCGCGAATGCATCCCAGCCGTCCGATATCTCCATGGTCAAGTGCGTCCCAGTCCCCGAGATGCATTTGACTAGCCGGGTCGCCGTGTCCGGCACCGGAAACGAAAACACACACAGCGCTTGGATGGCCAGGACACCGATCGGTCGCCCTTCAAGCGGCACGTGCGCGCGTGTGTGTGCGTTCACGTTCGTAAGCAAATGGTAGCCCTTGAGCGCCACCGTAACGAGTTCAGCTTCGCGGCAAAACCGCATCGTGCAGTGCAGGGCATTCATGACGAACGGCGCGACGGAGCACAGGATGTACTGAACACGGAGAGGGTTCAGCTTCCACTCGTTCGCGAACAGCGCGGTGAGAAGATGGTACTGGCACAAGAGCGAGATGCGAAGAACGTTGTAGAATGGCTGCATTGGCGGGGCCTCCTGTTCGTTGAGGTATTCGAGGCCGCACCGATAAGGGACGGCGGCATCGACATGGCCCGGGCGGTAATCGCACGGCGGCGACGTCGTCACGACCGCCGAGATCGTTCGGGCCAGCACCAAAAGTAAATGGCTGGGGTACGACGAGAGCGCGGGAAGGACATCTGGCTCGCCGCACGCTTTGAAGATGACTTCCATGGCCAAGAGGACGTGCCAAGTCACGTAGTTTACGTTGGACGACGATGCGGTCAAGTTGTGGGATGACATGGAGGTCGAAGGGTTTGGAGACGACGACAGCGCGTGCGTGCTTCGCAGCTGGGAGGTCAACTCGTGTTGGGATCGCCGTTGCATGTGAAGGAACGGTGGCGTCGAGGCCTTGGTCGTGGCGCTGCCAGTTTGAGCAAATGTCCCGGTGGACACAATCTCAATCAGACACAGCCAAATTGAATTGCATTCGTCTTCGAGGATCGCGCTGAAGTGGCTCAGAACAGTGCACGCGAGGCGCATGATGCGAAGCAACAGTGGAAACGACGTCGACGGCGACAGATTCGCAATGATCAAATGCTTGGCGTGTTGCTTGAGCATGCTGCGGAACTCAACATCGTTGCGGAACAACGCGGCGTGGGACGTGAGCACCGCCTCAAGCAACTCTATACCGAGAATCTTGGAGAACGTCGTGCGCTTGAGCCAAACGCCGGCCTCCTCTCGGCTCATAAGGCACAAATCTTGAAAAACGAGGAACCCGACCGTCTTGGCCCCGTCCAAGTTTGCATTCTTCGACGTCTGGTGCGCTGTAACGTTGTCAAACACCATGGTGACGACCTGGCGCAGCGTCATGACGGCCGTGTTGGACGTGATCGCGTTCCCACTCTGACTTTGCAGGTGCAAGCATATCCATATTGCTTGGCTGATCAAGTCGTCGTTGGTCATTTGCTCGTCTCCTTTGTTGAATGCTAGCGTGAGCAATTGCAGCAACGTTTGGAGCAACTTGAGCTGGATGTCTTGGTGGCTGTTGCGCTCGGCTTGAATCTGAAGCACGCGGAGGATGTTGCCGACAGCTTCGCTCGTGATGGCGTCCCATGACACGAGCTTTTGGATGCTGTTGAAGGACGCAATGAGAAGCTTTTGGCTTGCAGTCGCATGATTGCATGCGAGCAGGAATGGCCGCAGGATCGCATCACTTTTGAAAATCGGATTGCCCGGGCCGGGAGCCGCCTCCACGCGCAGCATCTGCGCATACAGCTGCCGAATCTGCCCAATCTTCTCTATACCTTTCTCAGCCGCATCCTTCACCGCTGGGAGCCTCTTCTTCGTCTCGGCTTCGACCAAGTTGAGGTCTTCTTCGATGGACCGAAGGAAATCCATGTCGTGCGGTCAAAACGGATTTTGATGGCACTGTCCCCGCCCAGCTATTTTAATATCCAGTTCTATTCCCAATAGTCTACATCATATCACTTCGCAGAAATGGATTAAAATGCAGGAGGAGCGACATTCATCCGGATAAAATGTCCGGTTGGGACTGCGAAGTCAACTATAGACTAAGAGGACACTTGAAACATGTGAAAAAAACGAGAGAAGCACATTGGAAGGCGGATGTCGGATTAAGCGATCGGGATGCAAACAGCGGCTACGCTCCACACCAGCAGAGATACGACCAGAGGGGATGCGGTTTGCGAGCGCTTTGACGTGGTTGCCGGGCTCAGGGTTGTCATGATGGTGTTGTTGCCATTTGCGGAGGTGGTGTTGCGCGGCATGTCACTTGCAGGAACAACTGCAGGTGTGGTGATGCGCGGCGGGGACGTCGTGACCACTGGTGGCAGCGATAGTGTAGTCGTAAGGTTGGTCACTATTGGCGATGGTGCTGTCGAAGAAGCGACGAGTGGTGTGCACTGCCCATTCACGCACATTGCTTTTGGGCCGCAAGGCGTGGCGCAGCGAGCGAGTTGGCACACAACGAACGGATCGGGGCACTTGAGACTCCCTGTGAAGCCAGGGACCGCGACTTCTTCCCCATTGTACGTGCATTGCACGGTCTGGACACGACCGTCCACGGATTGCACACTCACTTGAATCGTCTCGCCACTGCATGTCATGGGGTAGCATCCAGCTCGGCGCGCGTTGTACTGGTAGCCAAACATGTCGGTCAGGCGGAGCGTCGACAACGTGCATCGACTGTTGGGCTGGCCGTAGATTTCGCCAAACGGTGTGAACTCTGTGTGAGGGATCACCTCGAAGTTCAACTGGTCGAGACAGTCGCCGCGGTCGTATGCATCTTGGACGGGGCAGTAGTCTCCAAATTTGCTGTGCCTGTACAACAACGGTGACATTTTCGTCCTCCATGTTGTAGATGGAGGTACCCGCCAGTCGTTGGCGACGAAAAGTACCGATACCAGGGTGGAATGTTGCTGCCTTCGTAGTCGGTCTTCAGGAAGCACCACGATCGCGAGAGGCCATTGGGGGCGCACGCCTCCCCGTCCTCCGAGCAGTACGTGTCTGCATCGATGGACTCCACCCTGCCAGTCGTAGCATTCTGGGCCACGCAATTCTCGGTGGTGAACGGACACCCGCGATTGTTCCCCACATGAGGGCCGCAGCCACGCTAAAGTTGGCTTGGTACCACCCCGTGTCTTCGAAGAACGCAAGAGTTAGCGCTGATGTCGGGTTGCGGTAGTTTACGACTGGCGTCATGAGCTCAGGGCCAAAGAGCCGCTCTTCCCTACTGTCGGCAGTTAGTTCTCCGACCGGTTGAACCGATGTGAAGACGGAATTTGGGGAGACGAGAGTGGCATACCAATGGGAGCCGATGCACGACCCGTCGTTGTTTTCAATCTCGGCACCCACTGCGCTCGAACAATTGAAGTGCGCCCTTGTAAACGCTGCGACGGCGGGGGTTGCCATGTAAGTTACTGCGTGGCCACGAAGGTTCCTGTACACAACGGTGGAATTTGATGGCAGCCCTGTGCTCGAGATGAGCGTGCCATTGGCGCATGTACCCGTGGACGCCACGGGCCGCCCAGTGCGGCCACCTCCTTGACGGTCTGTCCGTGGAGTGCCATCACGATTCCTCATGAGGGGGAATGACGCCGATGAAAAACCGAGCGCATGGGCAAATTCGTGGAACGCCGTGGTGACTTGGACGTCGTAAGTCGGACCCGAAAGCGTCGACGCATCCAAGTACTGTGGGCAAAGGTTGGCCTGTCAAACTGGTCGCGTTGGCACGAGCTCGCGTAGGCAAGCGTGTTTGTCATGCACCGGCTAGTAGTTGCCGCCCGGATGTACATGACCATGTCGGCGTTTGGCACACCTGTGTTGTTGGGAAGGGCAAGGGTACAGTTGCCAGTCGCACAGCCGGCGCTCGTGCATGTCGAACAGACTCGAATGGGACTGTAGTGCTCGGTAGGGTATGGCATTTCGATGCAACTCGATGTCGTCGCAAGACTGGCGCACACCGACGGCACCGTGTTCCAAGTGGACGTGCACGGCGGCGCGGCGTACAAGCTCCCTTGAACAGGTATCACGAGAAGCGCTTGGGACCAAAACGAGACGGCGGCAGGGACCAAGAAATCCTCCACGAGGGATCTTTTGTCGGTGGGGATTGCTCCCAGCGTCATGTTGTCGAAGAATGGGACGATCCGAAGCGGCGAGCTGGACGAGGCCGTTTCTAGTAGGCGGGTGCTGGAAGTCGCGTGATTCGAAATGACAGATGCCAAACCATCCAAGTCAATCGTGTTGCTTCCGTAGACTTGTGACCATACCGCCTCGGACATGGTGTCAGCAACTTCGTCGTGGATGCAGCGATGCCCACCAGCCATCGCGTCAGCCAGGACTCCCACAATTGCAAGCATCCATGCCTCGCGCGGCATAATTGAAGTTTGGCAAGGTCATGGTCTGCATCTTGTACATGTGTCATAGTAACAACGATACTATCTTTAGTGCACCGAGATGGAGGAACGAATAGACGCAGGGGTTCTGACCCGAGCCCAGGTAGTTATCCAAGGTATCACTATTGTTACGACATGAACCGTAGGGGCCGGTGGTGAGTCTTGCGCAGGGTGGCATTCATGTGCATAGGTGCTGTCATGTAGCCATCAGGGAGTTGGCGTCGGCATAGGAGACTGGTCATTGTACGGGTGGTTGGGGTAGGTCTGGTAGGACGTGGTGTACTCGACATTGGCGACGACTATATCGTGGATGCAGTGCTGACTCACAACACAAGGGAGCAGCACTGCCGCCGCCACTACCACCGCCAAGAATCGCATCCTCAGCAACGTGTATTCCGTGGTGGTCTGGGACAGTTTCAATCATGTATGCGACGGTTACACTTTGTAGCCAATGGGTGCGATCCAAATGGATCTTGGAGGGTCGTTGAGGCAGTCCCTGCTGGAACGGCCATGGCATCGGCAGGCATGACCAACCAAGAGAGCCACAATCAGCCGCTGGCAGCGCCAATTCTCTTGTGCAAACGAAAGGACTTCCTCGACACGGACGAAGCGGCCAAGTCCCATCCAAATCGAACGTACTACTACCGCAAAGAAGCCGACATTGAAAAAGTCATTGACACGTGTACAAAGAAATTGGCAACGAACCCGAGCGATGCCATTACGATTGCAATTCGTGGCGCTTCCCACATGAAGAAGATGGTAGTGCCTAGCGCGCACTCTTACATCTCTGATACAAGCCTGGATGGTACGATTTGTAGGAGTGGGCGCAAGCCGTCGACGACTTTGGGCAAGTGCTCAAGCTTCTTCCCACGGATGCGAACGCGTACTACAAGTACACACGATATCCATTATTGTTAGCCGCATCGATGACATGCTTTACGGGGGTCGTAGTCGCGGCCTTGCGTGGACGAACTTAAACCAGCTGCAGGAAGCCATTGAGGACTTTACGCATGCCCTATTGCTCAACCCCAACCACATCAATGCGGCGTACGCTCGGTAAGGCATCACCATCCGTGCCGCATACCAGAGCCGAGCAGCGTCCTCATGCTATGGTTTCTAGGGCGTCATGTTACAACAAGCAAGGTGACTTTTCCAGGGCGATAGAAGACTACCATTTCGCCCTGATGAAGGACCAGCAAGGGTCGAATAAATCCAAACAAGCGGCAAAACCACTAGCAAATCCAGTCACACCCACGCCGTCGTCAGTGATGGTCAAACCAATCCCAGTCGACAAGATCCAACTTAGCGGACCAATTCCATCGCTCAGCGTGTCTCGCGGCGTCGATTCGTACACAAAGCTTCGTGAGCGGGAACTGCTGGATTCAATGACCCAGCTCAAGTACGACGACTCCAAAACAAGTCAAGTTGCATTAACATTGTGCACGTGGCAATGTAGAATGTTGCGGAGCAATGGCAGCAGCGCCAACCATGCCACCACCGCGTCCAACAACGCCCGTGACGCTGACACGAGCCACAGTAAACATTGCACCGATTCGAAAAGATTTTTGACGATCACGTACGGATCTGTGGCCGTCCCAGGACTTCCAATCAACAAGTGCCCCAGTCGATCGAACGTGGCACCATCGGCTCGGCCACCGCCCATTGACATCACCTCTGAAGCCGAAGAGCCCCCACTTGATTCAACGAAAGAACCGTCGGTGGTCGGCGATCCTGCAGAAATCCACCATGCCCGCGGCTTTGCCTTTCGTCGCGAGGGGCGCTTCGACCTCGCCGTCGCAGCCTACTCTGAAGCGATCGCGCTCAATCCGCGGTAAGCCCATGGCTTGGAATGCTCCGCAGATCCACCGAATGTACCTTGACGTGTTTATTAGCCATTTCAAAGCGTACTTTAATCGAGGTTTCGCGTACGACAAGCTTCGGCAATTCGACCGGGCAATTCAAGACTACACCACCGCCATCGCACTCGACCCGACAAATGCGTTTGCGTTTTACAACAGGGGCATTTCGTTCGATCGGTACGGATAGCTAGCTCGCCCAGGTGTCTGCCACCAGCTCACCACATCTTTCATGGAGAAGGAGCGGCAGCTACACAGGCGCCGTCGACGACTTCTCGAAAGCGATTCAGCTCATACCATCAAATGCTGACTTTTACCACAACCGTGGGTTCTGCCATCGCAAACAGGTGCGTTGCGTAGTGGCCGTTCGTCGCCAGAGCAGGTGCTGACGTACTCAGGGTCGATATGACGTGGCGATTCAAGATTACTCTGCAGCCATCGATTTGAACCCGACGCATTTTAAGGCACTGTACAACCGGGCGTTTTCGTACGACAAGCTCGAGGCATTTGAGGCGGCGATCGTCGACTACACGGCGGCCATCCAAGTGGACCCGAAGAACGCAAACGCATATCACAACCGAGGGAGCACGTGGGAAAAGGTCCGTCTCGGCGGCTCTCTGAGGCACGCACGTCTCCTCTACGAACATCTAGATGAAGAACCTCCACGAAGCCATCAACGATTTCACGATGGCGCTGACGCTGCAGCCTCAGGCCGCGTCCACGTATAACAGTCGCGGGCTTGCCTACGACCAACAAGGCAAGCATGCACTCGCACTGCAGGACTTCCACGCAGCGAATCGACTCGAACCCCAAAACCCCATCTTTCTCCACAATCGGGGTAAAGCACTCCGGCACGACGGCGCCATCCCTCATCGTCGACGAATGCCACGATAGGGTACTGTTTCCGCAACATGGGCGAGTACGATCGCGCCATTGCCGACTACACCGAAGCATTGCGCCTCGAGCCAGACAACGTCGCTGCGTACAGCAACCGCGGGTACGCCCGTCGAAAGCAAGGACAGTATGACGGTGCCGTCGATGACTACACCGCAGGTACTTTTGGAAACGCGTTTCCGTGGAGTTAAGCGGTCGTTTGTCGATGGCAGCGCTGCGCTTGGACCCGACCAGCACGAGGACCCTGAGCAACCGTGCGTACTCGTACGCCAAGATGGGATGCCTCGCCGAATCGATCGCAGACTACTCGCGCGTGATTGACCTCGAAGGCCACAACGCTTATGCGTACCACAACCGGGCGATTTTGCACGAAAAGATGGGCAACCTGACGCTGGCAAAGCAAGATTTTATGACGGCGATGGCGCTCGACAATTCGTCGTCGACGGCACGGTGTTGAGGCACTCCAGCCACACTATGCAGGGCATGTTGTATTGTGCGAACAATTTAGACATCTCCCTACAGCTTGAACCCGGAATGGACGGCCACAATGCCGTCCATAAAGTTGGTGTACGTCACTCTTTGGAAGCCCGCGGTTTCGATCATCGCCTTGAACGAGTGTTGCGGTGGGAACTGGCGAATGCTTTCAACGAGGTACTACCATCATCGCCCAACGTGACCGCTGGTTCGCTCCTGTCCATTCGTTTTCTGACACACCTGATACGACGCCCGGTCTTTCGCAAGGAGCTCGCCCATGGCGGGAATCATTTTGAACGAGTACTATCCATTGGATATGAGGGCTAGCTGGGCTGTGTGTGCGGGCGACGGTGGATGATGGACGAGCGAGTGTACCGTGTCGTAGAGTTGGCGAAGCAGCGGGTTCTGGACTTGGCTGAACTCCAAGCACATGAATCGACCGCCCTTGCGCAGGACTCGGTGGGCTTCCGCCAGCGCTTTCTACAACAGACCCTTGCGCGTCAAAAACCCCTTTGTTGTTACAAGGGTGACGTACATCGACGTGGGTGACGTTGCGAATACCAAATGCAATCGTATACACGTCGAACGAGTCGGACTCGAACGCGAGCTGCTCTGCGTCGCCTTGAACCCACGCAAAGGACGGGCGCGTGCCGGGTAGGCCGATGCCACGCGCGGTCGCTCGCTCTTCGCCAACGCGCAGCATGGATGCATTGATATCACACACGACAATATCTGTCCGTCCGCTGGGGTCTGCCGGCGAGTCAGCGAGACCACCGCGTTTCAAGCGATCAGCCATCCGGAATGCAATGTCACCGGTGCCGCCAGCCACGTCCAAGATGCGCAGTGGTTCGCCTGATCAAATAAGAACGGTACTGCGTTGGATGACGTGGCATGGACAGCGTACCATCACGATGGGGCAGTGGACCAAGCATGTTGACAAATTCATCTTTCCATAGTCGATGCATGCCTCCACTCATAGCGTCGTTCATGACGTCGTAGCTGGAAAATGCGTTGTGTGAAAGTGGTCGATCGTGTTAGGGGTGGTGCGTACCTGTCAGCAACACTGTGGAAGACACTCGCCACCATGGGCTTCTTCGCATGCTCATCTACCTGCTGGAAACCAAAATGCGTCGTCTTGTTGCTAAAGTAGCGGCGCACGGTGGCCGGTCGGCGCAGCGTCGCGGCGATGGCGGTCATAACTCGAACCATCCGCACCAAGCAACGAAAGCGACGAATGTCGCGTTTACCGTATCCGGATAATCTACACGTTGATTGGTTGATTCGACGAGACTTGCAATTTTCACACATTTGAAATGTCCAGCAGCACAATGCCAATGCAAATTTGCGGCAAGTTACGCGAAATGAAGCTAAACGGTGGTTGATGTATTGCTGGCCAGCACACGCTTACGCAAGCGCTGCCAACTCGTCGAGCAGTGCGGTTTCGTTGGCCACCTTGGCGAGCTGGTCTTCGTTGAGTGCGTCACCATGTGTTTGCTTTGCCTTGATGTCCGCGATCTGTTTGAGTTTCTTCTGGATGGCTTTGGCCTTTTTCAGCTTTTCTTCAGGCGTCAACACCACTACGCAGCATGTACAATATCTGCGTGAAAACAGTTCTAGCTCAAGGTCTGAGGGGAGGTTGGTACCTGGCACATCGGCCATCGTCTTGGCCAGGAGCTCCTGTGTCACGCGCTCAAGTTCGGCTTTCGCCTCCGCTGCTTCAATCGCCTTCTTCTTCTTCTCGCTCTTGCTAGGCTTCTTAACAGCTGGCGCCTCCAATCCAGGGATCACTTTGGTGGCCGCGGCAGCCGAGTTGGCCGGCGCGTACTTGTTGCGATCGAGTTTGCGCGCTCCAGCGCCGTCTTCACGTCGAAGCATGTCGGCCAACGCGCCCGTGGAATGCGGTGGGCGGTAGGCTTTGCGAACGGGGGCGGGAGGTGCAGCGGCAGCTTCCGCTTCCTTCAAAATTCGTACGTTATACCACGTGGAGAATTGCGATATGGGAGATGAGTCGTACCGAAGACTTCGCACGGGGGCTAGCAGGGCGGTTGGGGTACACGCCGGCGGCAGCAGGTCGAAACTGCAGGTCGTACACCTCGGTGCGGCTCTCCGACACAACTGGACCGGTGCCGTCGTACTTGAATAGCTTGAATCCGTTGTCGACGCGCACGCGGGGGAAGGTCGTGGCCGTGTAGAAGTAGCGGCTATCTGGAGACCAGCCGTGGCTATACGACGACGTTTCGTGAGCCAATACACCACAGCCGACACGTGTCAACTCACGTTGTGGCACACTCCGCTTTCGTCGAACCGAGTTTTTTTAGCTTGTTGCGATCCCAAAAGTCCATGTTCCCAGGCAAGTTTCCAAAACCCTGGGCAGAAAAGGTGACCTCGTTATCAAGGCCGAGGACGTACCGCCAAACACAGGAAGCGGCCATGGGGACTCCAGCTGATCACGTTGCGCCACGCCGACCCAAACTCAAACACCGGACACGCCTTGTTGTCGTATAGCTGCCAAAGGTAGGTTTCGATGACGAGAAAGAAATAGTCATCTTGCCCCAGCTCGACCACGTACCGTCGCATTACTCGGCATCGACCCCGCAATCACAACGAATCCTTTCGACGTCGGGTCCCATTGCACGTCGTGAACAGTTCCTTCTTTCGTCAACGGGATGCTACAGTCGTACTGGCCATCGCTACATCGCGTTCGGTCAAGTGTTATCGAGTGGCAGTGGATAGCCATACCTTTGAACAAAGAAGAGGTTGGTTTCGCCGTAGTACGACTTGCCGGACGTGTCGACGTCGGTGCTCGTTTCAATGATTAACGCACTGCCGTTCGGCGACCACTTCATCTTGACTTCTTGCGCTTTGTAAAAGCTCTTGAACGCCACGTGCGACTGTGTTGCATTCGGTGGGAAAGGGAAAATGCGGACGCTGGCCGGCTTTCCTTTCTTCTCTGGCACAAACAGAGCTATTTTGTACGGAAGACCGCCTGGTGCGACGCTAAAGCTAGCCGTGTTCTAAACGTGACAATATGAATCGACTCATGGTTGCAAGGGCACAGAACACACCTCGAGCGCGATATTCCCGATTGATCCAGCCCCAATGGCGCGCCCATTGAACACTTGCACCTATGCACGGATTCCTTGGCCTGAAAACTCCAGGCGGATTCGATACCCCATTGTTGCTCTGGCGGGCAGCGATCAACTCGTCCGAGCTCCATTGCAGAGAAGGCCATTGCTATTTGAATGAGGCAGTAGTTGAAGAGAAAGATGGTTGCGGGGATGTGCTGGTCAACCTCGCGAGAGTACGTCTTTTGGTTGAATCTAGCAATGATTGAGCCCGTGGCAGCGTCCCACACAATCAGGTTTCCTAATTGCACGCGCTTCAGCTTCCGCTACTTGGAGAAAGGAAAGAATACCGTCTGTGGGTGCGGCGTCCTTTGCTGGCCGTTGCCAAGTGACAAATTGTGTTGCGAGCGGCGACCACGCAGCAGCTTGAATGCCAGGGTTGACCACTTGGACGATCACGTCCGACCTGTTGAGTGTATTCATTGCATCAAGCATGAGAGCAGGACAGTGTTAACGTACGAGTCGGTGGAACGAATGACAAAGCCAGAGTCTTGGGCAATTAGCGCGATTTTGGACCCATCCGGGCTGAGATGCAGTGCATCCGCTGTTTCCAGCGTGTGCAATGCCGTAATGGACAGAGTTTCGCCGCCCTCTGGGGTCACGGACGGCAAGCCGTAGAAAGTTTCGACACCCTGTCGGAGAATAACCACAACTGAGAGCATTGCCACCCGATCATGGATGCATCGAAGCTCGTACGTCTCGTCCTCGAAGGAAGAACTTGGTTCGTGGCGTGTCTACAATATCGATCTTACAGACGTCGGTGTGGACTCATGCAGGTTGTACCTGCGACGGCGGCGGCGGCAGGTGCGGTCGACATGGAGCGGAATGCTGTTGGTGATGAGCAACTGCGGACTTGAGAGGACTTGAGCAATTAAGTGCGCCAAAGTCAAAACTTTTAAAAAGTTCCACATGAATGGGTTTTAAAAATAATTCTTTGATATTTGAATTACTATTCGCTCCATGCGCCCAATACACATGCGTAGATTGGAAAATCAATTTAAAAGTATGGATTGTTTTTAATTGGACGTTGTGTCCCTTGGCCGTCCTTTTGTGGTTGCACGAAGCAAGTGGCGACGTGAACTCATGTCGGAAGCGACACCGCGGTATCCGCTGCGCTCGCGGCGCCAGGCTCAAGCGCCGCAGAATACAGAAGCGCTCGTCCTAGATACCAAAGACAAAGTAGACGCTCCGATGCCATCGCCGACCAAATCGCCAGGGCCGACGACGTCGAGCAACGCGTTTCGGACAAGTCGCGAGCACGATCTGGAAGGCATGCTTGGATTCAAAGAGGAACCGCGGCAAATCCTATTTCTCTTCATTTTGGTGATCTCCGTGGCGTACTATTCCTTCACACACGACTCTGACGTACGTTGGATGAGCCTTTCCATATCGCGATACAACGTTTTGGCAATGGTGCATTAGGACATTGCCCAGAACGTTCGCAACGGTGGCATCTCTGCTGCGTTCATATTTCTCGTGTACTGTTTTCTCCAGACGCGCGATGGTCTTTTGGTACGACAAGAACATCACAATTCTTTCACGTGGTAAACGAATGCGCTCCATGTGCAGGTCCGACCGCATCCAGGCGTGTGGCGTATTGTCCATGGCCTCGCAGTCCTCTACCTCCTTCTCATGGCTGCCTTGTCCGTTCAAAACGCAAAATCTGCCACGGCTGCCATCCGTGTCTTGTTTCCTGAGGTCGGCGTCGCCAAAAAGCCTTCGTCCAACGTCCCACGGCAACCTCTCGAGTGCGAGCTGAACATGACGGTACCCACTTGCACCTCTTCGTATCATGTCGTACCCTCTTGACGCGACACTCTCGCAGAGTTTGCACCGAGGCGTGTCGAGCATTTGGTTCTTCGCCCATGTGACTGGATGGTGGGGCAAGATGTGCATGTTCCGGGACTGGCGGTTCTGTTGGGTCCTCGGCATCGGGTTCGAGTTGCTGGAGTTGATTTTTCAATGCATCATCCCGGACTTTCAAGAATGCTGGTGCGTATTGCCTGTCGTGTGCGCAACTCACGTGATGGCAGGTGGGACTCGTTGTTCATGGACTTGCTCGGCGCGAACTTTGTCGGGATGTGTTTGGGCAGCTTGACACTCAAGTACCTGGAGACGAAGGAGTACGACTGGTCTGGCAAGCGCAGCGAACAGCGCGGGTACTTTAGCCGAGCCATCAGCCAGTTCACGCCCTTCAGCTGGTCCCGGTACGACTGGGAAGTATTCTCGAGCGCCAAGCGGTTCTTCATGGTCCTCGTTGCGCTCTTTGTGTGCCTGTTTTCGGAGCTGAACGCGTTCTTTCTGCTTACAACCCTCAATATCCCCAAAGACAGCAATCTGAACAAGTACCGCCTTGCTGTCATGTTTATGCTGGGGATCCCCGCGGCCGCCGAATACTACGAGTTTGTGACAGACCCCAACTGCTATCGCCTCGGCCAGAACGCTTGGATGATGTGTTGCATCATCGTGTTTGAAATGCTCGTGTGGGTCAAGTTCTCGGAAGAGCTCGAGCAGATGACGTCGCCGCCATTCGATGTTGTCATGCCGCTCGTGGCATTTTTCGTGCTCTTTTCGCTGTGGATGCTTCTCTACTTTTGCAAAAAGGTAATGACGTGGCTAAATTCCTGTGGCTGGGATTCTTATGCAGCATATAGGGACCAGCTTTCAAACCGCACGTGTCGAGCTCTCTGGCCCCCCTCGACATTCTCTTCTACGTGTCGTTCTTGCCTCTGGCATACCTCTCCAAGCAATGGGCATACTAGGGAGTTAGGAGAGGCGTGTTGGGTGAATAGAATTTCCTTTTGTAACCACGAATTGTTTTTTCGTTGGCATGCACTAGTATTGCCTGCGTTGAACCATGATAGTTCGACTGGATGCCGTTGCATGCGCATATTGCAATTACTGATTGAAACAGGAGACATGTACTACGGGCCTATCTGGCTCCAGCCTAAAACTATATTTTTGGACCGATTTTTCCAGGTTTGACATTTAAGCCAAACCTGGAACGGAAACCCTTGGCAAAATGCCATTTTGAGATGGGTATTTCTCAAGATCATCCAATGAGTGGAAATTCCTCACGGTCGTCCAAGTTGTCTCGTACAGAGGTATTTTTATTCCAAACCGTCGATCGCAACATGATTGGCTAAAAATTTCATGAGTCGCAGGACGAGCATATGGCTGGCATGGTGGACCAGGTGTACATCGAACGTCTCTAGGTCATACAGCTCCATGGCTGTCGCGCTGATGTGGCGTCGTGGACGGTGGGTGCGGTCAGTGATTGCAGGGGGGCGCCGAAATACTAGAAGGAAACGACTAAAGCCCACCTGGGACTGAATTGCAACGATTTTAATCTCTTTAGACTTTTAGCCAATCATGTCGTGATGGACGATATGGAATAAAAATACCTCATGGACGCTCAACTTGGACGATCGTGAGAAATATTTCCACTCGTTGGACGATCTTGAGAAAGACCTGTAAAGACGTTTACCGAAGTGTGTATATTCTATAATTTTGCAGTAGCAGAGTACTTCGTATTTTGTTAAGAAGGTATATTGACATTTTTGGCTCCAATAAGTGGTGTTGGGTCAAGCTCCATTTTAAAACCGCTAACTCTGGCGACGCTTGCAATACTTGTTGGACGTTTTGCATGGTGCGCTGTAAGTCATGTTTCCAAGGTGCCATGCCATATGCCTGTTTTGAGCTGCTCAGTGGGAATTCCGCCAAATCCGCAATCAACACAGTAATGCTTGACTTCAACATAAGAAATGCCAATTCTACCTAAGTCGTTCTGTGGTTTCGACTTTCTGGCAAAAATTGGCTTTAACTTCAATTAAAATAGCATTTTCCTCAACATGAAAGTTCAATCCACGAGCTCCAGCGGCCCTGCAACCACGAAAATGTCATGTCGGGGCGAAAACGTCAAGTGTTCACGTAAGCACTTTCCCAACTGTGAATCAAGTTGATGTTTCACTTTTGTTGTTATCTGTTTTGTCAAATTATCTTCTGCCATATCGGACTATCATGTCAGAATTAAAATAGAAGCGTTTTGGTCCATTTTAAATTGAGATATATTGCGCGCGCAAGAGACAATGAGCAAGTTCCATGACCCTCGGGAATCTTCTGTCATTGTGGTGCAATTGTAAATGTTCTCTTGGAAGGCATACTCCCTCCGTTCCAAAATAATTGCGCGAATCAGGAAATGGATGTACGCCTCCTCGAATAATAATTGAAACCCTCCAATATCAAATAATCCAGAATGTATTTATACAGGTGTAACAATACACTTTTCCTATCAAAACTTGCGAAATCCGTGTCTCAGGACCAATCAAATGAAGGCTTTGACCGCTTTTGACACTTCCATTCGATTCAGGACGGGGGTTTACCTCAGGAAACTCCTAACGAGCACAAGGACCTTCCAGAATACCAACACACATGCCCGTACGTGGTTACTCGTAATCTTCTACACTGACTGGATCGATTCCTGCTTCACCAAGAACTGTGATCATGTCGTACGACTCCTCGTCGCCCAGCGCAACTGCTTCGAGTGCCTGTGCGAGCTCGTCGATGCAACGAGCGTCTTCAAGTTCGGCTGCCAGGACACGACGCTGCTCAGCAGACGTCATATCGTCCACCTTGACCATGGCTGCATCGAAGACTACGCTTGGGCACAACACGTTCTCCGGTAACATCCCATTGCGCTCTTCCTTGTGTTTAGACTTGTGTGGCACCTTGTAGCCATTGCCGCCGAACAGCTTCAAGGTCTCCACCACGCACGACTGAAGCGTCAAGAACGTGTGATTCAAACGCACCAAGGGGTGCTCCTCGAACGCGCACTCCACGTGGCCAACGAGCTCGTCAATTGTGCGCGCTGACTTGCGTTGTTGTAGGGATTGGATGGCCGCAAAGAAACCGAGATCCAAGACGTTTGTGTCCAGAGAGTTTGGCGGCTGCGGGGCGAGGGACATCATCCAGCCCAACGACTATTACTTGTTGAAGGCGGCTTAGTGCTCGGGGTCCGATGGCGTAACAAGAGCTCGGTCATTGTCGTGCTGCAGTTTGATGGTGTTGTCGACCTGTGGCCATTTGGCGACGATGGCAGGCAAGACCTTTTCCAGCAAGACGGTACAGTACACGTCCTTTGTCACGACGACTGACTTGTTTTCGAGAGTTCCACCTTTACGGTTCACACTGTCACGTTGCGCTTCGACGGTCGCCACAAATGGCAATACGCCGATCTTGCCGTCCCACCACTTGTCGGTGACGCAGTCGTACCGCGGACGGGCCACAGCGCAGAGGAACATTACTTCCGTAATATTCCGTTTGCTTTTGTACTCTCGTTTTGGCTCTTTCTTTCCAGGTACGAGATAATACTTACGGCTCACCTTGGTGAGGTAAAGCCACTTCACGTCCAAGTGCACGTACTGCAGCATATTGTTCAGCTCTAACGAGGAGCCGACGAACTGGACCGCATGCTTCAAACGGGCGAACTTGTTTGGGTCAGTCAGCAATGGTTTAATCCCGTTGGAGTGGGAACGAAACAAGCCCATTTTAAGGTATCGGTGCAACGACCCCAAACTTATTCCTATTGTGAGATCAGACACGATGTATTCACTATAAATTATCACCTGTGCGTTCCGAAATTGATCATAGTGTTGTGCGTTGAGAAAGCGGCACCTGCAAGAGCTTTGCTTTCACTTGCTCTGCAGTGAACGCCTCTTCCTGCCCACTCTACCTTTCATCTTCCTGGCGACAGATACTTTCATGTTGTCTTCACCAATTCCCTGCTGCTTGGCAACCGCAAAGACCCGGCGAATGGTGGACACAATGCAGTTGTACTTCTCCGCCAGCTCCTGGCTGAAGCCTTTCGGCAGCCTCGTCATATAGCTGCCGTTTCTGCGAAGCAAGACTTCCCGAAGGATGGCCTCGCGCTCGTCGTCGGTGAGGTTGCGCCTTATGGGTGTCATTTCCGGAATGTTAGTATTTTTCAAGTCATGTTTTATTTTAGATTTTGCATGCAAAGTTTTGAACGCGGGTAGCGGCCTCACCTCTTGAGATTTCCCGCTCATCATCGCACCAATAGACAGCGCTTGTCTCGCTCGTTGTTTTGATCCAATCATAGCAACGCATTTCGAATCCAGGCGGGCGCCACCACGTTTTCAATTTACCTCCTGAATATAATGACGTGTAATGTACAGCCTCCTGAAACTCACGCAATTATTTTGGAACGGAGGGAGTATACATTTTGGCGTACAGTACTACTAAAATGGGTACGGTACTATTCTCTTCTCTATTCGATCGAGCTAATTGCATCTAAAATGAGCGAACGAATACTGTACACTATTATCATACTACCTCTGTCCCGCTATACCATGACCATGGCAAACCCAAGTATTTCCCATATTACTATGACCATTTATTCTAATTGGCTCGAAAAAACATGGATGAATTTCAATGGCTATACAGCTATTAACTCATGGATTGGATTGCTGAAGTAGCGAGTTCGCCCGGAGAAGAAGCGATCAGGGCACGTGAAGTTCGCCATGAGTGATCCACAACGTCTCAAAGCATCTTTCTTCATATGAGGAATCTTGAAATCGTTGTTGCCGTCATGCTCCAAAACCTGGCGCACAACTGCTTGCAAGGTTAGGAAGACGTTACCCAACGTCTCAACACTGAGCGCTTCAAAGGCACACAACGTCGAGCTGATCACGTCATCGACAGACCGGCTGAAAGTTTTATACTTTTGGGCTTGGATTGAAGCAAAAAAGCCCAGGTCCAGGTCATTGAGGTCCGGGCTGTTCGGCGGCTGCCGACGCACCATAAAGACCCAACCATCCGTGGTCACCTCAGTCAGGACTCCGTCATCGATTGTCGCATGCGGAGTTGCATTGTCGTGTTGCAAAAAGACGCGCTTGGTCTTGCTTGGAAATCGACTCTTGATTGCAGGCACAACTTGGTGGAGCACGAAGTCCCGGTAGGTCGCTCCATCAACATTCACCAATGTCGTCACCATTGTTCTTGCAGATCTATACCGTGAGTTACGGAGTGCTGGCGACTGGGTCGCAAAGGGCCAAAGACCGATCTTGCCTTCGAAGCCTCCTCGGGCCTTGGACGTGCGACTGCTGCCAAGAACATAACCTTTGGGACAAAGCGCTTGGACTTGCACACACGACGCGCAGTATCTTGACCAGGGACCACGTAGATTTTTCTCTTGCCCATGCCCGCATTGAACCATTTCTCGTCAAGGTGGACTACGTCGAACAAATCGTAAAACTCGAATTCTTGTGGTTTGCCGACAAGCTCGGCGCACCACAAGGGGCGTCTTCGGAGATAGCGTCGGCTTCGCCGACGCTGCTTGTCAAGCAAGGGTTCAGGTTCGTAAGAGCCTCCAAGTTCACTTTCACATGTGCACCACAGAACGCTAGGCGTTCGAGCCTGTTGTCCTTGGTAACGAGCGGCTTGAGCAGGGAGGAACGTCGCTCAATTGTTCCAGCTTTGAAATGCCGTGCAAGGATGCTTTTAGAGATTCCTGTCGCATTGGTCATGTCGTGGAAAGTACTGCGGTTTTGTTCTGGCACGGCTTGGATCATCTCCCTGATCTCAAAGGGTGTGTATCGTGGCTTTGGGCCGACACGACCTTCCTTATTCGAGGACATTGTTCCTCTCTTGAAATCATGCCATATCTTGCGAATCGTGGCACGCCCAATCTCGAACCGAGCTGCAGTGTCTTGTATCGCTCCGAGACGGGGCTTACCATCTTGGATGGCGTCTTGCAGGGCGAACACGACGTCCATCTTGATTGCTTGGGTGAGCTCACGTCTTTGTCGGAGGCTTGTGCTCATGGAGGCAAATTCAAAATTGGAACACAGACCCCGATTTTTTTGTACTTTTATTCATGTTTTTTAAATTTTCCCTGTGCATGTTTCGCCACCATTCAATTCCGCGTTCAAAAGTGTCTTTTCGCGCCTTCGTGTCAATGGGTGAAACCTCCAGTTTTTGATAATCAAATGTTCTAGGCGTCACTCGTTAGTGTTGGATAAGAAGTGACTCCTCGGGGTCACCTTGAATACAAATGGTCACAGTATAGAGGGACAGAGGTAGTAATCAATAAGTGTCGGAGGACACAAAGGTGATATTTAGGGAGCAAAAAATTTATCTGAAAGGCACATTAAATATTCTAATTGGTCAAATTATAGCCAATGACCATCGCCCTACACATACAAAAGCAAAGCATGGGAGACGCGAAGGGTGGCGGCGCAACTACTGTCTTGAGCGATGGATCCGCAGATGCAGGGACGGTGGCATGGCTTCCTGGCGTGAAGGCCTTGCATAAGGAACTGATGAATCATGCACTTGCCTGGCCGTTTTTGGAGCCTGTGGATCCGATCAAGTTGAACATCCCGACGTATTTTCACATCATCGAGCGGCCGATGGATTTCGGAACCATGCAAAACAAACTGGACGGTACATTGGCCGCAGACATGGAAGGCGAGGAAGGAATGACAGGCGCATTTGGAGGAAATGTCAACTACGCGAGTTTAGACGAGTACAAGCAAGACTTGTTCCTCGTGTTTCGAAATGCCATCAAGTTCAATGCCGACGATGGACGAGTGGACTCCGTGGGGTATATATTGAATGAAAGCAACCAGCCCGGGAATTTCAAAGACTAACGTGGCTCTAGTAACATTGCGAAACGACTGCGGCAGTATGCGTTGAAGCAGCTCGTGACCTACTTTGGGGTGCGTGCATCCTCCGACCCATGACTAGGGACTCATGCTGCATGCGCAGGAATCGAACCTTGCCTGGGATGAAAAAATGGAGCTGTGTGTGCTGGAGAGTCAAATAGCCAAGGCCAAAGAGCAGCAGGTGCGTCAAGGTTGGAAGGACCAGTCGTTCGTAGCAAGGATGAACAGGAAAAAGATCGAAAAACGATTTGAATCGGTCATGCAAGGAAGCCCGTAACAACTCGACACGATGCACTGAATGCACCCTCTTTACGTGACCTTGACAATACACTACGTGATTTAGAGTTAGTTGTCTGTTGGGTGAGAGAGAGATGGGACAACACCAGTGTACCGCTTCTCTTGTGAGCTCGTAGCGGCTGCACGTGTTCCTTCCCGTATGGAGGGAGATGAATGTGAGATAAACACAACGTTGTTGCGATAGTCAATCTGGGGGTTCCTCCCGCTTGTGCCGTCTTCCTCATTGATCGTTGCATGGGGTGGTGGGTTTGGCAGGCCCAGCTGGATCGTAGCTACAGAGTGACAATCCAAACTTAACTTGGCCTCTGTGCGGGCCTCCAACGAGTCGCCCATGGAAAGAGTGAGCTCTGCATCTTCGCTCCAACTACGTATCCAAACATCTTGGTCGATCTCGCCACATGCTGTAAATAAAAAGTCAATGGAACACTAATATAGTTCTCGTGATTGGTGGTCGGGGTTCTACTCTATGGGTGGGGCTCTTCTCCTTTCTGTCGAGAGCATGACGACGTCATGTCTGCCTTCTTGGCAAGTGATGCATGCGTTGTCCGGAGGGTGGTCATTGGATGGTACGTGGCTTGTAACATGCGAATAGAGCGTGCCACATGCTCTGTCATATGCGAGAACGAACTCGTTTTCAGTACATGGAGATAGCGCATCCATGCCGTTGTAGGGCAACAGACCACGGGACCAGCTTTACAACACACGCCATGGCGCTCGCGAAAAAAGCTCCAGAGGCTCGACGTGCTCCTTCCAAATGTACAGCCCATGTCGGCAGCATATCGCACCTGTCCATGATGCATGACTATTCAATTTAACTGTCCATGGAAATCCTGTGGACAATGCACTTTTTAAGGGAATTAGTCGAAGCGGGCGAAACTAACCGGATATGGATAAACAACACAATTGGATTGGTTAAAGTTGTCCAATCACATATGGCGGCGAGACGAGGGGCAGCCCTCAACTCAACGCTGGGGTATACAAATTTCAAGTCAGTGGCACTGATGTGCAGCTTGAACACATTGTCTTCCATCGAAATGGCGTTTTGAAGCATTTGGAGAACGCCACGATGCTCGCCACTGCTTCCAAGACTCTGTTCACGTCGGCCAAGGGCCAGATCCGCCGCTCGACCACTGCCAGCTTGCAGGTAAAGCCCATGGAATAACCCCCATTGTCGGTGTGGATTTGTCGACTGATGCCGGCGATAGTGGGCCAAGGACTTGAACAAGCCGCTCAAGGAATCGGATCCGGAATTGTTCGACATCATTGAACGCGAGAAGCAACGCCAACGCAAGTGCTTGAGCTTGATCGCGTCGGAAAACTTTACGTCCCGCGCGGTGTACGATGCGTTGGGGTCGGTCATGTCCAACAAGTACTCGGAGGGGTATCCTGGTCAGCGCTACTACGGCGGCAACAAGATCATCGACCAAGCTGAATTGTTGTGCCAAAAGCGTGCGTTGGAAGCTTTTAACTTGGACCCGGAAGTGTGGGGCGTGAATGTACAGAGTTTGTCGGGGTCCCCTGCCAACTTTCAAGTGTACACGGCGTTGTTGCAGCCCCACGACCGCATCATGTCGTTGGACTTGCCCCACGGCGGCCACTTGTCGCACGGTTTCCAAACTGGCGCCAAGAAGATCTCGGCTACCTCCATCTTCTTTGAATCGATGCCGTACCGTCTCGACCCTGACACCGACTTGATTGACTACGACTCGTTGGCCAAGAACGCCGAATTGTTCCGCCCCAAGCTCATCGTGGCTGGGACCAGCGCGTACTCGCGCCACATCGACTATGCCCGCATGAAGGAAATCGCCGTTGCCGTACGTCTTTCATCCTTCCACGGCATGATGATGGACCTTTGTGCTTCTAGAACAACGCGATTTTGTTGGCCGACATGGCGCACATCAGTGGTCTTGTGGCCGCCGGTGTCGTACCTTCGCCTTTCGAGTACGCCGATGTCGTGACCACGACGACTCACAAGTCCCTCCGTGGCCCTCGTGGTGCCATGATCTTCTACCGCAAGGGCACCCAGAGCGTCGACAAGAAGGGCAAAGGTATGCTTTACGTCGAATCGTTATCTCTGACTTATCCAATCCCAGAAATCAAGTACGACTTGCAAGGCCGCATCGACTTCACTGTGTTCCCTGGTCTCCAAGGCGGTCCCCACAACCACACGATCTCCGCGCTGGCAACCGCGCTGAAGCAAGCCAACACTCCCGAATTCGTGGCGTACCAAAAGCAAGTGTTGGCGAACTCGAAGGCGCTGGCCCAGCGCTTGCTTGACATCGGGTACAAGCTCGTGTCGAACGGCACGGACAACCACTTGAGCTTGGTCAACTTGAAGAGCTCCAAGGGCATTGATGGTGCCCGTGTCGAATTTCTCTTGGAAGAAGTCAACATTGTGATCAACAAGAACACTGTGCCAGGCGACAAGTCCGCGTTGGTCCCTGGCGGCATGCGCCTCGGTGCCCCTGCCTTGACTTCGCGTGGCTTGACCGAAGAAGACTTTGTGACTGTCGCCAACCTCATCAACGAAGGTGTGGACTTGTCCGTGTCCATCAACAAGGCCGTTGAAGGCAAGAAGTTGCAAGACTTCAAGAACTACGTCAAGAACGGCGGCCACAAGGCCGAAATCCAAGCGCTGGAAGAAAAGGTCGCGACCTTCATGCGCTCGTTCCCGACTGTCGGGTTCGAGGAAACCTCCATGGTGTACAAGGATTAAGTCGTATCATAATGAAACGTTTTGCAGAATGTATGGCCCAACATTTGAGTCTCGTCCGGATACGTGGATCTCACGTTTCCGGACAACTCGAAACGACGATCCTCTACACCGATCGCCATGGGCAATGCGATCAAGCTGAACGGGAACACGTACAGCATACGCGGGAAGCTCGGGACGGGAGGATTCTCGGAGGTGTACTTGGTGGAAGGCAGACTGTGTCCGAATGCACATCTTCCATCGGATCGGACAGAGCACGACGAAAACAATGACTCGCTGTATGCTCTCAAAGTCATGCAGTGTGACGACGATGACCAGCTCCGTCGAGCACTCATGGAAGTTCAGGTGCATCGCCGCCTCAAACACCCAAATGTTGTGCCGCTCGTCGAGTCAGAGATTCGAATGAAGGTGACACGGCATCACTCGGCTGTGCAAAATGCGCTGTCGAAAACCAAAGAAGTCCTCCTGCTATTTCCGGTCTACTCGATGGGATCTCTGCAACAACTCCTCAACAAAGCCGAACGTACGATCTCGATACTACGGCTGCGTTCGCATCACTGGATGACACCGACTACCTCCATAGACATGCCCCTCTTTGACGAACCTGCGTGCCTCCATATCTTCCTTGGTATTGCCCGAGGCGTTCGCGAAATCCACGCGCTCGGGCTCGCGCACCGCGACATCAAGCCCGGCAATGTCCTCCTTAGCGACACGTATGCACCTGTCGTGATGGACTTGGGGTCGACCGCTCCGCTCTACGTCTCCATCAACAACCATCGTGACGCTACTGTCCTCGTCGAAGAAGCGGCTCAGTTCTCGAGCGCTCCATACCGGGCACCAGGTATGTGTTTGTCGCTCGAGTCGATTCTTGACATGGATATATCGATCAGAGCTTTGGGACGACTCGTTCCGCGGCACGGTGAGCGGCAAGGCAGACGTTTGGTCCCTCGGGTGCATACTCTACGCTCTCGTCTTTGGCCCGTTCGGTCCATTTGAGTCGCCCCACGACGGTGTCCAGCGCTTGGCGATCCTAAACGGCACAGTGAAATTCCCGTCCCATGTCTCCTCCGACGGAGGCGTGTCCGTGGCGTACGTGGCGCTCATTCAGCGACTGCTTCAAGTAAATGTCGACAACCGGCCGACCTTGGACGACGTGATTACAGCTACTGAAAAGGTATATTGACAAAGAGCATGCGATGGAACTTATTCCCACGTTTCTTTCGGGGGGAATCGTATGCAGCTCCTCGAGAGTATTACCTGCCCGGACAACGACTTCGTCGGCGTCGTCGGCAAGGGCTTTTCGTCCGATCCAGATTCCGTCGCGTCGTCCACAGGACAAAGGAAGACCCAAGCAAGGGACCTCGCGTATAAAGGACGATCCATTCTAAACACCGCGCTAGCATTGTGACCGGTGCAGCCAACGTGAATGCGATCGACTGTGATCTCCACGGATTGCTTCGTAGTGGATCCACAGCTGCGGCAGCAACGGTGCAGGCGTTCGAGTGCAGCGCGACGAGCGTCCGACACACTCCACCTGTGACCAACTTCGAATTCGTCGCGCAAATGCAGTGAAAAGTGACAGGGATTCCATCGATTAGTGGACAGGTGACACTGGCGTGACCAGACGGAAGGAATACACGTGACAGTTTGTGCCCGGGCCGAGTTGATCGGGGGCGTAGAATTGGCGCAGCGTCGCTTGGAGGTCAGCTACGGCGGGAAGGCCTTCGCCTTGGGCGTGTGCGGCTGTCAGATCTTCAACGCTGACGTGGTCGATGGCTGTAATGACGAGGAATGCAAACGGTGTCGACGCATTGTCCGTGACGGCGACGACGGTCGAGAAAGGGTAAATCGACGCCAGGTGGGACTTGGAATCGCCAAGTACATCGCATTCCAGGCGAATCGTGAGCGTTTTCGTTTGATGGATGCAGATGGGGTCAACGAAAGACGAGTGGAAGTGCAGATGCGGCAGGGTCAGTGGCGCGAGCTCGGTCATGGGGACATGAGCATGGGAGAGCACTCTGTGAAACATGTCCAGGACTTCACGGAAGTGGGGATTTGGGTCCACCCACGGCCGACTCAACCTAAACCAACCATGAATTGGCGAGTGTGGTCGCCCGAACGGTTGCACGAACCGGATGACATTCAACGCGTCGTTGGCATCGACAGAGTCCCTCGCCATGAGGTACGCCGCCACAGCAGACGCAGATCGCGACACACCAGCCAGGCTATTGAAGAACGTAAATCTGATGGACAGAATGCGCACGGTTTGCCATACCAATGCACGAGAACGTTGCCATCTTCTTCTCTGGCTAAGAACTCGTTGATGCAGTTTACAAGAAACGGAAGGTGGATGAAGAGCGGCGATTCCAAGTCATCTTCGAGATCCACTCGCACATGATGATGGACGTGGTCGATGGGCAGGTTCGTCTTGTTGTCCTTGCTCAAAAGCGACAGCAACATCGTGATGTTCTTGGCTTTGAGCGCAGACACGTTCGTCGCGGCGTCAATGGAGCCCAAGTAGACGCGCCCAGAGATATGCATTGGCATATCGTCCGCCGCCTCCTCGACCTCCTCGTACTCGTCGTCATGCTCTCCGTCGAACTCGTCCTGGAACACAGCCCCGTTGTCGGCCATTGCGCCCGAGAAACAGTATCCGAAATCCGGATAATACAGTCCGCATGACATTTACAGGAGCCTCATGGCGGCAATGAAGAGCGGCCTCCCTTGCGTGCCTCGAGATATGTTTCACTTCCATGGTATGTTGTCTTGCTAATCAGCACTGGGTCGCCAATGTCGCGTGGACTTCGACGAATGATGGGGAGGTACTCGGATGGAACGTAGGTAGTGTGGCGTCCTAGTTCGCCAGGCTCAGCAAGGCGTGACGGCAGTTGGGGGATGTCGGATCGCCGAACGCTTGGAGTTGGTGGAGGAAGCGCGAAGAGTTCCCCCGTGGAATGATCGTTGGCAGTGCTTGCTCGGTCGCTACCTACCAGTATCTGTGCTCTGCAGTGTGGACGCATATAATGTCACACTGTGTGCTGCCTTGCGAGTGTAGAGTGACCAGCTAGCAGTTCCAAAACGAAGCTTCAAGAACTTCTTCGAGCGTTGCACTCATCCCGACGAATGCAGCGGACTCGAGGCAACACCAACGACATGCTTCCAAGCGATGCAAAATGACCAGGGCAAGGACTCTTCCACGGCACATGCCCCGGGACGAACGAGGGAAAGCGAGTGATATATCCACTACTGTCTTTTCATCGGAGACTGGTCGACACCCTCAGAGGCATCCACGACGATTCAGTTGTCTTCGATACACACGGGCATCACTTTTGAATACTTGCATACGACCTGCGACCAGTCGCCTCCTTCTTCACGCACCTCTCTGAACCCTCCGGTCATGCGGGGGGCGGTAGTAAAAAACCCAACTCCATTACAACGTTGCTTTGACAAAGACTGACCCCCCTTGGCCACCGCATGCACCTGCTCGCTCTATATGTTTCTTGAATCTATGCATGGGCAGGAGCGTCTACAAAGCACGGAACGCAGACGAGGTCATGACCACAACGCGATCGACGTCGACGAGTTCGTACCACTCGGTTCTTCCGCCGCGAGCTCCAGCGAGCCCAGTGTGCGGATCAGCAGCGCCTTTTCTTCGACAAACTGCGCGTCCGCTACCCGACCAACGTGACGCGATCGATCATTTGCGGCGGCGCACCTTTTTCGTTTTGGAATTTCTCCAAGTACGCGACGAGCTTGTCCTTGTTGTTGAGCAGAATCTGGGTCACTTCGTTTGGCTTTTTAGGGTTCGCCACAAACACTTTGAACACGTGGAACGCTTCAAATTGGATGTTGGCGCTCGTGTCGCGGAGGAGGTTCATCATGATCTTGAGGTTGTCGCGCTTGCTGGTCACGGGTCAGCCCATGCGACACATCGACATCGGACGCACCAGATATATCGCATCATGATCTCAAAGTTGGATCGGTCGAGGAGAATCTCGCCGAGGAGCTACGTCGGCAACCACGGCGGGCGTCAACGCACCCGTTGTCGACGGGGGGGGAATACCTTGAGCGACTGGCGGCGCGTCACGTAATTCTCCGACGACAGCAGCCGGTTGTACTTTTCAAATGCCTGCAGCCGCACAAATCAGCCAACGACGACGACATGAAGCATGTCGACCTGGTCAAAGTGGGTGTCCAAGAAGACCGAGACAAGACTCTTGTGCCGCGTCAGAAGATCCTTGAATGTGGCGAACGCGTCGGACCCCACGTCAAAGTTGGGCAAGTGGACGTAGATGTCAAAGAACTGGCCCGACAGGCAACGCGTGAGGCCGCCGCATTGTCATGGGCATGGTACCTTCCAGAGATCGTCCGAGTAGAGGACTTGCCGCGCCAACGATTCATGTCGAATGGACTGAATGATTGCATGAGCATGGCACGTATCGAAGGAATAGGAGAGAGAGAAGGTACCTCGCGCAACATCGTGCCGCAGTTGAGCGCTATGTCAGCGTTTTCGTACCCCCGCACGAGTGCCGACATGATCTGGGGCTGGCGCTCGATGTATGCAACGAAGCCGCTCAAGTCCCGTCGAATAAAGTTGTTGTATATCTGTGCGACGTGCTTGCGCGCTTCAAACGGGAGGTCGGCCAGGTTGAGTACGAGGCGCGGCAGCGTGTTGTCGGCAATCAGGAGCGACGCTAACTGCGCACACTTTTGAGGGCTCGACTCTTCTTGACCCTGCCCCATATCTTGTTAGGCGCACACGCCACACCCTCCACGTGGACCGCACAATCGATCGGTCACCTACCACTTCGCCGTATAGCATGACCTTGATTTGGTATAGTCGCTTGGTCACGATGTCGACGACCTACGGCACACCCCATGACACGAGACCAAGCGTGGCCGCACAAACCTTGCCATTCTTGTCGGGCTTGACGGGAGCGGTCGGGTTCTCGATGGCTTCCCGCAGGTGCTTGGCCAGTTTCTCCGGGTTCTTCTTGGGCTTGAAGAGGTCCATCGCGATGTGGCGGCGTCAAACGAAATCGCACTTAATCGAGCACGCGCGTCACCAAAGCGAGTTAGGCAGTCCCTCTAACGTTCGATTTTGGACATAGAAGCGAAGAGATACAAATTAGGTACGCACTTCTCTATTAAGTGCGAAATGTCGATCTTGCGCAGCCTTCTCGTTGCCCGGTGGGAGGGATGTGCGCCGCAGGTCGACGACGTCTGCAAAGCCGATCGATGGAGGACCCAACAAACAGCACAACGCCATCTTCTGGATGCTAGTGGACAGCGCAAGAGAGAAACTGTGGGTAGAGTCACTGACCCGTTGACATCGCCGGATGTTGAAACTGCACGAAACGTCCCCCGCGTCTCCATTTGGTGGATGGCTTGGTCAGAACGATGGAGCGGTACGCCGTGGAGAAGGTGATTGGGGAAGGCACGTATGGCATCGTGTACAAAGCGATTGAAAAGGTGCGTCCGTCCGCCACACGGGTTCGATGGATCACACGTGGCTGTGGTAGTCCACCAAAGACGCCGTCGCAATCAAAAAGTTCAAGTTCCTCACAGGTGCTGACCTCCGTTCCTTTCGTCGAGTTGAATCTGTAGCGCATGGCGTGGCATAGACGACCTTCTCTCGAAGCGGGAATTGCAAGCGTGCTCGATGTTGAACCATCCCAACATCGTAGCGTTTCGATATAGCTTTCGTGGGGATGGGTGCCTCCATCTCGTGTTTGACTACGCGCCATCAACGCTGTCCAAGGTATCGCCCGCATGATGGATCGATGGACCGAGCTCACTGGGCAACAGGTCATCGCCAAGTCGAAAAACGGGATGCGGCTCGCCCATGTTCGGTCGATTGCGTTTCAGCTGTGCAAGGCCATCCACTGCTGCCACGAAAACAAAATCATCCATCGAGGTGCAGTCTCCACACTCGCAAACGAGATCGGGACGTTCGTTGGCGCAACTAGACATAAAGCCCGACAATATCTTGCTCGACGACATGGGCCATGTCAAGCTGTGCGACTTTGGTACGATGTACTTGGCGCGGCCATGGCATTATGTGCCCTCAGGCGTGGCCCGGACCATTCAATTCGACGGCGAAGCGCTATCCGACTACGTCGCCACGCGGTGGTACAGGCCGCCGGAACAGGAACTCCGGTGCGGCATGCTTCGCGACTGCGGCGCCTCACCATGCCATTGGTGTGCAGGCTGACCAACTACTCGTACAGTGCCGACATGTGGAGTGTCGGGTGTGTTGTGTGCGAAATGCTCTTGGGGCGGCCGCTCTTCAACGGAGAAAACCAGCTCGATCAAATGTAAGATGTGGATCGACTGCTTGCGTTGGAATCGACGCACGACCGACGTAGCAAACTCATCCAGGACGTGCTCGGGCCGCTGCCGCCGTCGCTGTTGTCGAGGCTGCCCAAAGGCGTCGCGCTCGGCACCAAGGCAACGCTATCCCCGACGACGTCGCTTTCCCAAGTTCTGGCCAACTCGTGTCCCCCCGAAGCGATCGACTTCGTCATGCGGACAGTCGCGCTGGATGCCCGAAAGCGCATGACCGCGGCCGAGTGCTTGGAACACTCGTTCTTTACAAAGCTCCGGGAGGCCGACGTCGTCGAGCAGCGAAGTCGACGGCGTCGATCCACGATGGACAAAGACGACATCGAAGAAGACATCGCGGACGGCGGCAGCCACAAGCACGCTGCGTCCGACGACGATGGCGACGACCTGGACGCGTCCGGGCCGACCTTGGGCGACGTGAGGATTGACGAGAGCATGTCGCTCGTGGCCATAGCAAAAGTTCCCAAGCCCGGCGCTCCTCCAGCGTGTCGAGCCAAAGGATGCAAGGACGATGACATCCAGGAAATCATCGAAGGCGACGACAACAACGCGACCAGGAGGCGAATGTCGACGCACGAAACCAACGCCACTGCTGACCATATCGCGTACGACGACGACTTTGAGGACTACGAGAGTGACTGCAAGAGATAAGTTGACTTACTTGCAACGCTGCCAAAGTCAACGGGCTCTGCGATGACTGGGGACGTTGTCGCTGGTGAATCCGGCATCGCCGAGTTGTCGACATGGCGATTTGCACTCGACCGCAACCGATGCATGTTGACGCAGCCTCTCGTGGCGGATAGACTTGGTCTCTCGGGTGGGTCAGCAGCACACTCTCAACCTGCCGCGATGTTTGCCCATCGTATCTATGTTGCTTGTTGGTTGGGCTTCCACACTCGCTGCGATGGTGCACTTCCCGGAGGCTGCGGCCACGTTGCTCGTTCGGAGCGTTATTGTCGTGGAAGTCGTCAAAGCGTGCCCAAGTGTCGTCGCAACCTTTCTGCAGAGTGCCTTGGCTTGCGTCGTCGGTGGATGCGTTGCACGAAATTCAAATCCGACGGTCGCTGGCTGCTTTCGTTGCGTCCCCACACCTCTCTGCCTTCTCCCCACGCCAAGATCCTTGAACAGGATCGATGATCTCCATCCTTTGACCGTCCGCTCATGGCAATTTCGTCCAAGTCGCGATCGCACACACAATTCGCTGATTGTCCACTGTCGATGTAGTCACATGAGCGTACGGACTACCGACAGCTCCGATGTAGCTTGTCGAGTCGTTGGGCATGCGATTGCCGTTGCTGGATGACGACGACTCGCCTCAACGCAACCCTCTCATGTTCTATCCTGGTGTCGTTGTGGACGACGATGGCGATTCCATCGTCGCTGTGCAGTGGCACGCAACACTATGGACGAAGGAACAATCTTCCATCGGTTCCTGCATTCAAGATGCAGCCCATCGGCGGCGAACGCTTTCGAGCAACTTGTTGGCATGCCGTGGACATGGTGTGTGTGTTTGGTCTTAGCTGAGATGTAGCGGAGCTCGATGCCAGGGCGGACTCCCCTCGGTGGCAATGGATCGATCTTCGCCTCACCTGCCGTGCCATGCAGCTCGTTAACGCAACCGTCCCCGGGGTGAATACGACCGGCATTGACGTGCTGGGACGTGGCGTTGATATGGGACTGGCCTGTCCATGTCGATTCCCCCGTTAGAGCCGAGTTCTGGCAGTTGCGGCACATGGAGTGCACGTTGCCATACTCGAAAGCGACGACTCGATGACGCGTCTCCGAGGGGTGGCGTGCAGCTACGAAACTCTTCCATGCTACCACATCCTGAGCTTGCTCGCGCCCAACGAGGACGGCATCGCCATCTTCCACCCGACGCTCGTCGAACACGAAGTGTATCGGGTGCTGCGCGCCATGCATGTCCTTCCCCACGCGAACTCGCACGAGGCGACAGCGACGTCGCAGGCAAACTTGGTTGGTCAGCACGTGAACGAAGGAGCGCTGGCACAAGCCAAGTCGATGGAAGTGATGGCGTATTTTGGCAAGCAGGCGGCTGTCCAGCGCCAGTTGACGCTCGATGGATGGTGGGACAAGACTTTGTCCAAGCACATTCAGAGCGACGAGGAAGGCGTGTACGCCATGCTTCAAGGCGCGGGGGGTGGCGTGCGGGTCGTTCTGTTTGCGTGGCTCACGGACGAGTCGTTTGGGCCCATGCTCTTGCGCGAACGCGCGACGTACGTGCTGCGATTCTTGACGACGTTGACGTCGAACGTGGTGGGCTGTATGACGGAGGCGGACGTGAGCCAGGCGAAGGACGCGTTGAGTGCCGGTGACGTAGGCAGCCTGAGCTCGGCGACGAAGAAGTATTCGGTGTCGTTTTCCATTCAATCGGCACAGGTGGTGGACGAGAAGGTTGAGTGTCATCCGCGTTATGTGAACAAGTTGGGGGTGCCGTACCAAGGGGCCGCGCTCGTCCCCAGCCAAGGGGGAGTGTACATGGTGACGGTGGCGACGGATGCGAGTGTGACGACGAAACAACGACATGACCGATTCCAAAACCCCGACGCATTTGGCTCGTGGTTGCTGAGCTGTCTGCAGTCGCATGTCGTGTCGTTTGAGCGCCCCATACCCCGTCCATGGATGGCGTGTGCGCTGAAACAAAGTGGCCGCTTGCCTGTCCAAGAACTGGACGCTATCACGCCCGATTCGATCTTGGAAGCAATTGCCTTGGAATCCGTGGCATCTGTCCAGACGTTGCTGGAGGAATTGCAGAAACGCTGTACTGACAATGCCGCCATTGTGTTCCAAGTGAATCTCCAAAGTACCGCGCAACAAGTGGCTGCGAACGATGCGCTGTCGAAGGACCTGAAGCTGCTGAAAGGTTGGTACTTGTCGCTTGGTCGGTATCCTCAGCCGAATTTGCTCAACTACGAAAACCGAGTCGACGACTATGTCAACATGGCATTTGGAAACGTGCTGCATCAAAGCCAGGGGAAAGCGCGCGGCGGCATGCTATCCACAATGTTTAGCTACTATTTTGCATGGTCGCCACGCATACGTTTCCCGTACGACGGGAACGATGCGGACGTTTGGCGCGCGCTGGAAGAGGCGCGCAGTATCGCCATGACGCGGCATCAAGAGTGGTGCCGCCTGCTGTATACAGCGACGAACGACCGCGGCCTCATTCAGTACCTCGTGGAGGGATTCAAAGCCGAGAAGTTGAAGACGCGGACGATTGCCGACGAAGTCAAGCGGTACAAGGGCGAGACCATTCACGACGCGTTTACAACCATGGTGGGGGCATCGAATTCACAGCGACCGAGTCGACTCGAGCTGACGGTGCGACACCAGAACAACGACACGATTTCGTATGTGGAGCAGTGTGTCCAAGAAAAGGCGGAGATTGTGCGCGTGTTTGACATTGCAGAGGGCGCTCCTCAGCCCAAAGGGACGATGGCGCTGCCAGTCCACTCGAAAGTGGTGTTGGTTAGCCGTGTCGAAGACGTCACGGTGGTGGTGTACACGCATCCCAACCACGACACGGTGGAAACCCATGTGGTCGCGTACAAGAAGGCGGCGTTTGCGAAGCCGGTGCTCTGCCGCGTCTTCCCCAACGAAGCGCTGCTCTGCGACTTCGACCCGACCCACCGCAACTTGGTGGTGCTGCATTGCGAGTCGAAGGTCGACGTGTACGCGTTCAACGAGTCGTACAAGGTGTTGGAGTCGGTGGCGGCGTTTGATTTGGTCGTGCTGCGGCTGGCGAAACCATTTCTTCGGTTGATTGCATTTGGCGGCGACAACAATGGGGTGACGGTGGTGGACCACCGAGGGGCGCTCCAATCGTACTTTTTTCGGTCGCGGCAACTTTCCAAGTTGGAAAAAGACGTAGTCGTACCGGGCAACACGAAGGTGGTCAAGGTGCAAGGGGGGAGCGTCCTGTTGCTTCTTTCCCAAGCTAGTGGAGTTGATTTGGAGGAGGACATGGTGGACGTGCGAGTGCGCACCATCCTGACGGCGGACAATACGATGCTACCCGACACTGTTTTGAAGGTGCCGGCCGGCATGACGTGGTCAGAGTGCTCGGTGGAGTGTGTGGGGAACGTGCTCACTTGTTTGGATGGATCCATCGCCAAGGTACACATGTGGGAGCTGGACATTGTGACGGGCAAGACTGCATGGCAATTGCATGGCTCGTCGTCGGCCCGTGGCGAAGACAACGCCCTGGAAGGCCATCCGTTGTGGTCGCTCTTTCACTTGTTTGAGAAATTTCCCGTCCAAAGTGTAGCGTCGGCGGCGTCGCCCGAGTGTCAGTTGGTGTCGGGGCAGTTGCAACTTCATGTGGTGGGGCTCGCCAACCACCCCGCGATCGCCAACTTGCTGGCGACAGTGATGCATAAATTGCGCGGCCTGAACAAGGACTTAGCGCTGCTGGACCTGCCACGCGATCTGCAGTGTCATGGTACGAGCGCCGTGCCGTGGAACGGAAGCACCGTCGTTGTGTCCAAGTGGGTGCTGGAGCTGCTGGGCTTTGTGCCTGTCCAGATATGTCGGGCACGCGATAACCAGCTCGTGATACTGACGAATGGCCAGGACGAGGCGATGCAGCTGGCCACCGCCACGGAAGCCCACGAAGTGGCGAAATCGATTTGGTTTGGTCCTATATCGAGTGTTTTGCAGCGTTGGACGGGCCCGGTCGTCGTGCTGTCGTCGATGGGCAAGCAGTCGACGGGGAAGAGCTACTACCTGAACCACTTGACGGGGAGCTCGTTTGCGATCTCGGGGGCGCGGTGCACGGACGGCGTTTGGCTGACTGTCCGCTTGATGGGCGACTGCTTGCTGGTGGTGCTCGACTTCGAAGGGCTCGGGTCATTTGAGCGATCGGCGCAGGAAGACACGTTTTTGTCGGTGCTGAATGCGGCCGTGTCGCGGCTGACGGTATTTCGCATCGAGATGCGGTTTGACAAGGATATCGACACGATGTTTTCCAAGTTTCAGCAAGGCGTGTCGCTGCTCAAGGGCGACCCCCGTTTGTTTCGGGGCAAGCTCTACTTGAATGCGAAAGACGTGAACCCGAATGACCAAAATACTGTCATTTTCGAGTTTCAGTCGAAACTCGAAGCCATTCTCAACGAGAACCGCGCCGACAATTTCGTCACGACGATGTATGGAGGCAGCGTGGAGATTACGTGCTGCCCGCCGTTGGGCAACGTGGGGTATTACGAAGCATTGCGGGAGGGGTTGGAGCTGCTGGTGAAGGCGCGCGAGGCGGTGGCGTACTCTAGCGGGTGGGACTTTTACGACTGTCTGACGATGGCGCTGGCCAAGATCAGTCTGTTGGACTGGACGTGCATGGAGGACAATTTGAAGGAACGGTTGGCCATGGAAGTTCGTGGCCACGTCCGCATGGGGCTGCGGTACGGGAAGCTCGCGCACTGCAATTTGGTGGACGGCGAGCCGGCGGCGTATGTGGACAAGTGGATGACGCTCTGCTCAGACGCGGAAATGCTCGACGCGTTGCCGCCCGACGACTGCATGGATTTTCAAGTCGACTTGAACGAGAAGGTCGAGGACGTCATGGCCGAATCGAAGCCCATCTTCATGCACTTTTTCAAGCTTTTCCTGGAAGGCGTGGACGAACCGCGAAGCCACGTATCGGAGAAGCAATTTGATGCTGTGTGGACGTATTTGCTGTGGCGCCGCGAACGCCGCGTGCGTCTATGGGTGGCGAGCTTGCCGTCGGTCGGTCGCGAGGAAGTGGACGATTTGGACGCGTGCGCGGTCAAGTTCAAGCAGTTGCTTCGACGATGCCAGCACACATGCACGGAGTGCAAACTCGGGTGCTTTGAATGCTTTTTGCATGACGCGAGTGTCCGCCACGACTGCGGAACCGACCACAAGTGTAAGGGGAAATGCACGCACTGCGCCTCGCTAAACGAAGTGGTGGAATGCTCGTATGCGGCCGGGCACAGCGGCTATTGCAATTGTGGGATGAAGGCTCATACGTGCAATGAGAGATGCGTGTTGGCCGGCGCGTCCAACTGCGACCAAGTGTGCAGCCTCGAGGTTGGCCATGCGCAGCCTCATTCGTGCGGCGTGAAGCTGCACTGCTGTGGGGAGCCGTGTGCGGCGACAAACTGCCGCGGACAATGCACTTTGCCGTTTGAGATGGACCACGTTGTGCATTCGTGTGGCACGAGCCGATGCCAGCAGCGTTGTGTGATGCCCGATTGCGGCAACCTTTGCGCGGACCAAGACCACTTTCATGCGGACAATGCCAAGCACCTGTGTGGCCAAGCCCACCGCTGCACGTATGACTGTGCCGACGACGGCATTTGCGAGATTAAAGTGCACTTGGAAAAGGTGACGGAAACGTTTGCCGGTCAGCGAAGTTCGTTCGAGTTCAGCCGGCAAGAAATGAATGGGACGAAGCGCAAGTGCAGCGAAATGGTGGACGCGACGGCGACGGCCCACGAGAGCGGCCACGGATGCAACAGCGCCGTCCACTACTGCGACGTTCGGTGCCCGTGCTGCCAGTACTTCTGCGATAAAGCACACGGTCATCAAGGGCTGCATCGTACAAGTCACGGCAACATGAAGGATACGTACTTTGTGTCGGACTCGGAGGCCGTGGACGTTCAAGACCGCAAGTACACGGCTGGCGAGCAGGGCGTCGCTGAAATGTGTCCGTTCTTTTGTTCCAAGATGGGCCGCGGCCATGTCCACTTCATGCCGTGCAGACATACTGCCGCCACATGCGTGTACACTGCGACGGACGGTCGCCAGCACTGCAATTTGAAGCTAAAGCCGCACCCGGAACGCCCCATGGACGAAGTGCTCCATGAGACGTACTGGCAAACGTTGGGGTGGGAGGACCCGGTCTCGAGTGTGGCGGAGAAGGCGGCGTTCAAGCTGTGCCCGTACAAGTGTGATGCCCCAGACCACGCGGCCGATTCGCCGTCGTATTGTGTCTTGGATGCGTGGCACCCGGTGATGGACAAGCACGACGCACGCGGCCAGCAGCATGGCCACACGGTTGTCCAAGGGCACTTGTTTGCATGCAAGCACTTTTCGTCGCGCGGGCTGAGCCACCACGTTTTTGTGCTGGACGCGTCGGGGTCAATGGCTGGCGCGCCTTGGAACGCGCTTACGGACGCGGTCCACGGGTACCTCCAAGAGCAAGTGCGGAAGAAGGGGCTCGACTGTGGCGACGTGGTGTCGATTGTCACGTTTAGTTCGCATGGCGTGATTGTGTTTGAGGCGGCGGCCATTGCATCTGTCGTGAATGTTTCGATTCCCTTTCAAGGTAGGGGAACCGACTTTGACACGGGGTTGCGGTGCGCGATTGAAGTGCTGTCGCGCAACCACCACAATACATTTGCGCCCGTCCTGCTCTTCTTTTCGGACGGATATCCCAACACGACGGACAGCGGGGTCTACTTAGCCGACCACGTTGCCCACACATTTGAGCGCCATGGCCTCATGTCGTACTTGGTCGGGTTTGGAAGCATGAACTTTGTCTGTCTGGAGAAGCTCGCGGTTCGCCTCAAGGGCGCGTTCCATCATGCGATCTCTGACATTGACCTGCTCGAGACGTTCAAGGCCATTTCAGTGTCGGTGCACTTGAAGTCGGGACTGGTCGCCAAGGGAAACCAACTTTGAATGTGCTATTGAATGTAGTTGACTTGCCTGGAGCTGTGAGCATGTGAATTGGCTTGAAGCGCTTCTGCCACTGCTCTTTGCACTCGCCGTGTCCATCGACGCAACGGTGGCATCTCGAACCGCGCACACACCTTTCTCAACAGACTCTTCTCCGTCGACTGCGCCGGGCTCCGTGGACAGGACATTCTCGATACCTGACGGCCTTGTGCGCAATGGCATGTCGAAGCCCTGGTGCACAAACCTAGCAATCTCGTCGACAACGTCGTCGGGACCGCCGTCCTGTGCCTCGCAATTGGCGAAGTACGGTCGACGTGACTCGCCTTCGAAAGAGATCTCGTCATTCATGGATGTCCCAAGCCGGGATGCTTTGCAGGATAATGCGACAAGGTTTCCGTAGTAGAGCTTATCTGGATTGGATAAGGAACGGATGCGCCTCCGTGTTGAAGACAAACTCGTCCAGCGGAACGAACGACGGCGACGACTGGAGAAGGTAGTGGTACTTGAGCGTCTCGGCGAGGAAGAAGCTCTCCATTTTATCGTCGATGCGGACAGACGCTGCGTGGTTCACGTTAAAGACCGTGCCGTACCCGAACATGGACTTGGCATGGGTTTCAATCGCTTTGAAGATCTCCCACCCCCAGTCTTGGTAGATCGGATCCTTCGTCACGCGGTACAAGTACATGAGACTCTCGACCGTCTCGGGTCGCAGGCGATAGCGCGAGTCCGACATGGTGTAGCCAGGAAAGTGCACGATGTCTGGGGCTAGTCCCGTGGGCTGTCGGCTGTACATGGTGTAGCAAGTCTTCATGAGCTTCTTGGCCAGGTCCAGGTGCTGGATCACGCGAGCGGGGTCTTCGTCGCTCAGCGTACCAAGTGCCAGCATCCCTGGCACGAAGCACAGCAAGTGGTCTTGCTTTGGTAGGCCCTACACACCAATCTATCATCAACATGCGCTGCGATTGTGTTGAATCCAATCGTACTCTCATTCCTGGAATCATGAGTTCCTGCAAATAGTATGCGTCGTCCGGCTCAGAGTAGCGAAGGAGGTTTGTCTCGATGCCGCGGACGGCGTCGTTGTAGAGATCCCGCAAGTACTGATCCGATTCGCGCCGGCCGCTGTACAGCCACACCTTGAGCAAGTACTCGTAGAACGAGTCGCCGAGTGCCCCGATCGTGATGACCGTGTTGGACGTGGCAAACTTGCCAGCCCCCACGTCAAAATGCACGGGAAAGAGCCCCGTGTTCTCGTACGACCCTTCGCGCTGGACGATCTCGTAGAACGCATCGCCCTACCACACAAGTCAGCCCCTGGAGTCCTAGAGCTTCGTCCAGCTGCACCTTTTCGGCGTACGTGTGGTTGCCCGTGATGTCGGAGACCCGCCGAAGCTCGAGCTGCAGCGTCCCTATGTCGGCCAGCAGCCCCCTATCACAAGAAGTCAGGACGGGATCCGTTTGCGTCCTGCTGCTATGACTTGCCGGTATCCCGTCCATCCGTTCATGGACTTGGCCTGCGTGTACGCGTTGTATTGCGTGTAAAACACACCGTCGGCGAACGCGGGTAGCAACAAGTCGGCCAGCTCGACGGCGCGCGCCTTGAAGACGGGATCTTCCGACAGGTCGTACGCGCTCAGCAGCCCGCCCAGCTCTCGAATCGTGATCTCAAACACGCTGATCTTGTCTCCGTCTTTGCCCAAGTGGGTGAAATCGAGGCCCGTGGCGACCCAGTCGCGGGCTCGCTGGAATTCGTCCTACATATTGGCTTGGTCAGACGACCTACAGCCAGGATGCGAGTTCGCACCGTCATGCCAAAGATGTAGAGCGTGTCCAACGCGTCGACGAGGGTGACGCCCAAGTCCCCCCACACATCCTGCTTGCGGCTTCCGGACACGGGGCCGACTTCGTCAGCGCCGAACGCGTGGGTTTCGTATCCAGTCCAGGCGTGTTGCATGGCGCCGCGGATGGCATGCATGCGCTGTTTGTGCTTGCCGTCGATGCCGACGTCGGGGCGTGGAACAAAAGCCACGGAACGCACAGCGGATGAAGGGGAAGTCTTTCGACGTGGAGTGGGCTGCGTCGTGGGGGTGTTTGGAGGATCGGCCTCGTGCAGCTCCATCCAGTCGTCATGGTGGAATGGGGCGGTCGAATGCATCGTCGAGACATCGTCCTTGAATACGCCATCGGTCGGGCGTGGATTGTGCTCTGCTATGAGGATGTTGCTGTCGGCAGCGTCGGTCGAGTCGACTTGGGTCGCCACTGGTGTCTCGTCAACGTGGTGGTCGCGGAAGCGATGTGTGCTGACTTCGCCTGCTGAAGATGCGAGATCCCATTTCGGCTCGACACCCAGCCGCGTCACGATGTACACTTGAGCGACGACAAAGAGCGCAAAGCAAGTCACGAACAACGGAACGCGGGCTCGGCTCGACAGTGCCATTACCAATAGTCTCCAAGTTGTAACTGGTGAACCACGTGACCTTTCAACAATCTACGTATGTCCACATAGTTGCCTTATATGCACACCAAGTTTCCATGCAAGACATGTACAGCCTCAAGCACTTCGGAGGACATCGGCAAAAGTCCGGCCGACCGAGCGCTCGGATCGAGCCTGCCATGTCATCATACGAACTTTCTAGTTTCTTCGCCCTGAATAGCGGCAGGTAGACTGCTGTCAGGCCTTTCTGTAGTTGAGGTTTCCACATTGGCAACTTTACTGTACTGATGTGTGCAAATTCAAGGATCAGTGGACATTTTAGGGGTTTTCGGAGCGACGAGTGGTATTTCAAAGAAATCTAAACAATTCCCACTGTTGCGTCAGCGATTTTTGGAGTTCGACAAACAACGCTGACATTTCATCGACTTTGGGAACATTCAATCGACAAACACAATTGGTCAAAACAATAGCCAATGAATAATGTCCATTCATGACCATCTAAACGATTCTTGCCATTCATCGACTCGATTGTCGTCGCCCACGTCACTGATGTTTCCACCAACAAAGCGTGCCGCCAAAGTCAAGAGGGCCGTGACGGCTGAAAAGTCTGCCAAGACTGTGTGGACCGCCGACATGGTGTCGACGCTGTTGGATCGGCGTTGCGACGACTTCGCAGCAAGCTTTGAACTACATAGAAGCGCAGCTCAATTGTCAGTCGTGTGGGGAAAGATCGCTTTGGC